TATTATAGTTAAAATATTATACATCAGTTTGTCATGTATTTTAATTTTTACGTATCGAAATATAGTATTAGATTAGCTATGCATCGGCTGGCACCGACTTCGAAAATATCTGATTAGGTATCTATTCTAAATGAAAACCCGCGTTTAGTTATTTTTCACATTTTAGTGTTTGGAAGTCGCTAATTTTTTTTATACCTATTATCGAAACTTCTGAATTCTTATGCAGAGATTCTTTTTAAATTTTATATAATACCTATGCAATAGGAAAAATATAGTATTCAAATCAAGAATTATTTATAATGTACCCATTCGTTTTTAGGATAATAGTAATGTAACCCTCACAGGATCACTTCGTTGTCCTTCTGTCTGTCTGTTTTTCTTTACGTCAAGTTTTTATTGAGAAAGCCTGGAGGTATCAAGTTGAAATTAATGTCAAATACTTGGTGCTGTGAAAAAATCGTACTTCTAAGTCAACACAATCAAAACATACAGCTGTTTAATTTTTATGTCGCATGTCGAAACTCGCACGGGAATCAAAATTTATCGGATATTTTCCGTTGACTTAGAATAATTACATTTGGCAAGAAACTATGTCCGAAAAATCCGAAAACCGTAAGTTTGTAGTTACATCATTTTTTTTTTATTAGTATAGTTATGAGGCTCAAAAATTCTTGTTATAAAAATTAGGTGAACACGGCTTTGTAGGGTTTATATTTAATTTACAACTTTAGAAAAGTACAATGAGAAAAAGTCGTACAAACGAACTATATTTTTTTTATAAATTGAAATGAGAACCTGTTTATTCAGAATGCTTAAAAATTTAAATGCTTATTTTTACTTGTATTAAAAATGTACAGATAGCAAATTTAATGTAACATCAACAGTTATAAACAAAGTTGTGGAAAGGAAACAGAATAAATTTCAAGAAATTTAAGACATCTTTAAATAATAATTAACTTTCACATCCGTTTTAGATTCTTCGTTAAATAAATGAAGGCATGTGGCGAAGAACTGTAGAGTCGTATAACGTCATATTGACGTCAACGCGATAGAGCCTTTTCTTGACGATAACAAGGATTAATTGTATGCGTACAGGGTATTTTGTAATACATATTTCAAATTCTTTTCAAGATCTGTTGTTTATCAATTCGATACAATAATGCCAACATTATTATTTTTTCATTATAAAAGCAAAAAAATAAATTCAAATCTTTTGTTTCGTGGCTTCTTTCTGAGCATAAATTTCATACTAGTATTACATGTAATCGAATTAATAAAAAAATAATTGTATTAATAAAATAACTATAAAGATATGCACCTACGTGTATCTTAATATTATACCCGTTGTAGAGCCCTCCGCATTTTAAACGCCTTACATCAGACCGCATTCCAAGGCAAAACTAGTCAGAAAAACCATACCGAGTCGAAACTTGTTTTGATAATAATTAGCTGATGAGCTGGTATTTAATATCGCAATGTTAATAAATATAACACCCGCTCCTATTTCTTTTTAATGTTGCCTAAAATAGAATCAAGTACAGCAGCGTCAGCAGGGATAGCTCTATTAAGTGTGATAATAATGAAAATAAACATAATATTGTCAAATATGTAAAGTATTACATATATACTTTATGTGAATAAATCCAAAATACAAATACTGCCTACATAACACCCGCATGACCCGCAAATACATGCCGACACTACGTTGGTTTATTTATTTAATATTTTCATTCAAAAACACGTGTCTAAACAAAAGTTTTACTTTAATTTTAGTCTGTTTACATACGCACGTATTCTGTAGAAATACTGTGAATCTTATATTAATTTTAATAAGATTATAAAAGTTTACTTACAATTGTTTGATTAGATCAAAATATATCTTGTAATACCTATACAATTTGGGAGATTAGATTCAGTAATTGAAAACTAATTGGAAGTCGTAAATAAAAGAAATTCCGTTATTGATTAGAAACACTAAAAAGACTGGAAGCCAACTGTTGACTCATCTTTTCATTATTTATTATGTATCTTCATTTATTTAGGTTTAATCCTTCTTTGAAAACTACGAGAAAATATACCTCAGATATTCATTAAGTTAGGACAGTTTGTGTTAGATAATAATATTTAATACTAGGTACGTTTAAAATAGATATGAATAGTTATTGCGAGTGTACTTTAGGAGAAAGACTTATACTATTGCAGATTTTTCTGTAGGCCTTATTAAGACCTACAATTTTGATGATCTCTTAAGGTTTAGACAGCGTTAGACATGTAATTTTCTAAGGATGACTCGATACAATCAGTTATTGTGTTTTCCCGTGGAAATGAAAGATTGTCCTGTAGTAAAAGATATCCTACATTTTGACCCGAGTAATGAGTTATCACTACACAAAATTTAGTTAAAATCGGTTTAGTACTTTTTGCATGAAACGCGCACGTCATATTCGCTAAGTTACTGTTTTATTATATGTATAGATTATTTGTCTCGAAAGATAATAATTGAAGTGAAACATCTTTAGAATCATTGTGATTTGAAACTTGATGAAACGAAAATGCGACGCTAAAAATAGACAAACACATAAATATATATAGGATAAGCCGAGAGGAGAATGAGATTAAAAAAAATACAAATGCTGCCACGGTAATCGTTATTATTATCTGACAAATATATATTAAATATTATATTATTTTCGTATATGATATTTTATAAATATTTGATTGTAATATGCCTGATATGCCTTATTTAATTATTGATTTGTTTTAATTTAATTGTAATATTTCCCAAAGAACTACTACTTCCAACTAACTTCAACCGCGCGTAAAGGTTACACGCACCCATTTTTTTGTCACACAGAACACAACACATAGATAATTTTTTTTGGTCAGATATTATTACTTTAAACAGACATCAGAGATACATATTACACATATCTCTTTGTCGAATATATATTAGCTTTATATGTACGTTGTAACTACATAAAGACGTTACGTGTAGACTGTAGGCTGTTACTTTATTTACACACTCAGTGCGATATCGGAAGAATGCGGTCGCAGCCATTGCCTGTTCGAAGCTAATGAATCATTTACATTATCAATCATTCCACTGATGTGCCATACTTGTGTCCCCTATAACATTACCACATTGCTTTTAATTACGTTTACAATTAATTAGATAAGGTACATAATATTTTTCATATCGTATTTCGATGTCAATTAACTTTGGGTTTTTGCTAAAACTTTATATTATTTTAAATAAATAACTTAATTTTTGTTTGTACTACATAAAAAATTAAGTGCTTTATCTTTTTTACGTGCCCATTTCATATTCACCTATTTTCTGTCATACTAGAAACAATAGGTTAATTGTGAATTGGTGCCTACATAGCTTTACATAATACTAGCGACTCACTCTCGCTTCGCTCGGGTTCGTCCCTAGGTTGATTACCTATACAAACTTTCATCCCCTAAAGGGATGATTTCCGGGATAAAAAGTATCTTATGTCCTCCCCCGGGTCTCAAACTATCTTCTTACCAAATTTCATCTAAATCGGTTCAGTAGAACCAGACATTACCTCCTACAACGTCACAAACTGACAATTCACAAAGTTAACCTCTTTATAATATTAGTATAGATACACACTGTATGATGTTTAAATATTATATTAACAAGTAGATATTAGCCAAATATGAGATAGTGATACCTATAAATGTAAACTGTAGATCAAAGCTGTATTATATTGATACTTGTTGGTAATTCTTAATTTCGTAGCTAAACATAGCCACTAGCAGCATATCATTATACTTATATTGATACTTATATTGATAATTATTATTTGATACCTGTACAATATATTAAAAACCTTACACCCTTGGCTAAAAGTATTAGGCACCACTATAAAACACGTGCAACTCATAAATTATTTTAAAAATGACTTATCTGTAACAATAGAATGACCTGCAATATTGAAAGTTAATTTTAAACAATAGATGAAGAATTTTAGGGTACCATAATTATCAGGTCCACAAAGCGTGAAATACCCATTAAGTTTTTTGAAAAATAATGTAATTTATTTTTAACTAGCATTGCCCGCGGCGGTCGTTCAGATGACCTAAAACCAAATTCTAATGTTTTACATATTAGTATACTCTTACATTGCAGTTTTTGTATTTTCTCAGAAATGAGATATTTTCCCGCGGTAAAAAGTATCCTATATATTGACCCGGATAACCAGCTATCACCATATCAAATTTCATCAAAATGCTTCCAGTGGTTTTTCTGTGAGGCGGTAACAGACAGACAGACAAAAATTCTAAAAACTATAGATTCGGCCACTGTATCGATAATAATGTTTATTTCAATAAAATTTTCCAAAAAATATTTAATGTACCGATTCGGCTTAGTTACAATTTTATTATATGTATAGATAAACGACGAAAGCTTAACACAGAAACATGGATTGACGACACGTTTGGCTCAGTGTGTAGTGACCCTACTTGCTGTGCCAGCGGTCGTGGGTTCGAGTCCCGCTGGGGGCATTCATTGTGTGATGAGCACGAATGTTTGTACTCCAGTCATTTGTGTTTATATATATAATATGTATGTATTTAAAGTTTATATATGTGTAGTGTATCAACTATCTGGTATCCATAACACAAGCCTCGTAGCTTACCATGGAACTAGACGGTGTTGTGTGTGAATGTCCCAACATATTTATTTATTTATGGATAAAAATCCAGATGTTATATAATATGAAAGAAGTGAAGACTCAAGTAGAGATTGACAAATTAGTAAAAGTTTCACGGTGTGCAGTGCAATCTACCATTAAAAATGTTCACGAAGATTGGCTCTCGTGCAAACAAAATGAGATGATGTTATAGCACAGGGGCGCTAACATTATGGTTTGGGGCTGCATGGCTGCCAATGGGGTTGGCGAAATGGGTTCGTTTGTGAAGGCCATATGAACAGTCAAAAGTACATAAAAGTACCTGAAACTGCCCTGATGCTTTTGTTAACGCGCATTTTCGGTGACACTTGGATGACGATCAAATTCCAGCAAAATAATGCTCCATGTCATCAAAAATCAGCAACCACGATGGGGCGGTTGAAAGAGAACGAAATTGTCTTATTAGACTCGCCGGCGCAGTCGCCTGATCTTGACACTATCGAGCATCTTTGGGGTATATTGAAGCGCAAGATACGGGAGCACGGCTTAACCAAAACAGCGCTAAAATTGTTTTAACAGACGAGTAAAATTCCATATCTATGGAAGAGTGCAAAAAGCTTGTGCACGCTATGCCTCAAAGAATTAATTACTACAGTCATCAAAGTGAGGGGTGGACCCACAAAATACTAATGTTATTATTTTTTTAATCAATATAACAATGTAAACAGCAAAATTAGTTTTATTTTTCATCCCAAACAGTTACAACTTACTAAATTGTTAGGTGTCTAATACTTTTGGCCAAGGTGTATGTTGAAAGGAAAACTTGAAGCTAAAGACCAAAGACATTGAATTCAATGTAGTAGATACCTAATAAGTAAACGCATGGGATTTTGCTGTCCCAAATGATGTTTTTTTTCCCAGAATTTTTTTCTAAATAATTATCCTAGTCATTATTTTAAAAACACTTCAGTACTAAGAAATAATAAGCTTATAAATTATAATGGTTAGCAGTGTTGTATTTAAAATGTATGTACAATTTCATTTCATAATATATGTACACATATCTTTCTTACGATAGACTTATTTTCGAGTAAGGGATGTACTATGTATGTATACCTATTTAATGTTAAGGTCGCTGAAACTAGCCAACAAAACTGGCAAATCGGTCAGAAAGGTATTCCAAATTTTTTACCAGACTGTACATATAAAAGGTTTTCTTTTTTCAGCTTGATTCGATTTGAATCGAAATGACAGCGACGCCGTTTTTTTAATTCTAATGATTTAATGCCTAATGATTATGCTAAAATTTTTGAGTATGTGCGTTCGTATCTCTATTTCGTGGAGATATGTTTATTTTTCAAAACAGGTAGATTATATCTGTGTACAGACTACAGAATGTAATTTTTTACGAGATCGATTGAACCATTTGACTGTGTAAGTAGATATAACGAAATCAAAGGTAAGAAGTTATAATGAAAAACAGAGGTAACTACGAGAAGTAAAATTATTTAAGTTTTATCCAGTACTTATATACCTACCTACCTAACTACTATGTAGTATGCAATAGGTACTAAATTAAACCATAAAGGTGTTCAGTCATCCATGCACATTACAATAGAGACGTGATGAATAACTACAATAGTAAACCGGTAGAAACATAAATATGTATTGTAATACAGGATATCTTTATGTAACTAATCATATAGTTGGATATTATTTATAACTGCTTAACTTTTAAAACTTGAAATTTATGTTTAAACACGATTTATATTAGACCAATTTGATACACACGTTGATCGGTCCATTATAGTAAAATTCTACGTTACCTATGTTCGTTACTTTCTCTTAATTCGAAACAACGTACTGTTTACGATTTAGAAGGTGTAGTCTTGTGAGCCGAATGCTTATTACATACCAAGAGATATAAGGTTTAGGGCATTTGATTGGCGTCAAGTGTAGTGTAGTTGCTGTGCGTGGTGGCAAGCAGTGGTGCAAGAGGAAGGGCGCGCGTACACAGGGTCAGCGGCCGCGCGATGTCGGCTCAGGCGCGGAATTCGAGCTATGTATGAAAGGAAAGTGGCAGCATCGTGAAAGCGCGCGCATTTACAGTCGTCGTGGAGCACTTCACTCACCATTAATAAACAAATCCAATGCAGATCACAACATAATCCGTAGTAAACCGCATCCAAACACTTCACTTCGCGATGTTTAAACGTAGCCGTACGGTGCGTTGACGCGCATAATCTCGTCGAGCGCGTAGGAACGACTGCGGCGCGGCGGCAGGCGGCCAGCGGGCGGGCAGGGCGCGTGGGTCGGCGAAGGTATGAAGGCACGCGCGGGGCGCGCCTCGGCTATGGCTCGCTGGAATGCGGCGAGATAGTGGCACTGGCTACCAGCCGCGTGGTGTGGACGAGCCCCGCAAACAATACGAGCGTTTTAATTTTATATAATAACTAGAGACATACCCTCGGTTCGCTCGAGTGCGTCCCTAAGTCCCTAGAAGACAGCAGCAGCCTATGTGTTACTCCAATCCATAGTGTATCTGTATAATAAATTTCATCCAAATCCGTTCAGCCGTTTCAGCGTGAAGGACTAACAAACATACAAACTTTCGCATTTAAATTGTTAGCCACATTCACCAAGCATTACGTATACCTACACTGTCCTATGCCCCTAATTACCAATATAGGATTTGACAACACCTTTTAATCGGAAGACGATGTTCGAGAAATCTCGTAAGAATCGTTCTATTATAGTGTAGGTACCCAGAAAAAAGTTAAGCCTACAAGTTTCAGAAGAGTTTAAGGGAGCTGATATTTATATAATATATATGTACATCTTATATATAAAATTTCCATGTCACAATGTTTGTTACCGTACTCCTCCGAAATGGCTTTACCGATTTTTACCAAATTTTATATGCGTATTCAGTAGGTCCGAGAATCGGCTACTATCTTTTTTCCATACCCCTAAGTGATAAGGGTGGTCCACCCCAAAAAAAAATGTTATGATTCGGCATTAAAAAATACATACAAACCTAAATTTTCACTAGGGACGAACCCGAGCGGAGCGAGGGTGAGTCGCTAGTATATTTTATAAATTACTACCCACTGTATGTAGTTTGGTCCGCGTGTGTATTTACATATAAAGTAATCCACAACAAATGAACATGACCTTGCTTTATATGCGAGTGCGTTTACTAGAGGGATCAAGCTGTATCATTATATAGATCTAGTCGACTCGTTAAAACGAAACTCCGCAATATTTATAAATCAAACTATGTATTATTACCTGCTGTTTTTTTTGTTGCTGCAGTCTACTATATGTATGTCCTTTAAATCCCGGGGGAGAAGCCAACTCCTACGCGGATAAGAGAATGCCACCCGCTTAGGGCGGCGGGTGGTACCGGAGAAATCCGGCGCGGACCAAATGGCTTGGGTGGGGCCGCTCGTCTAGGCCTCAAGCCGAAGGCGTTGTGGCCACCGGTGGTGGGACCGCTTGGTCCCACAACCGGATGATGGGTGCCGGTTGCGGGACTGTGGTCGCAGGCCCGCATCCGGCGGAGGGGTAGGCCGCGGCGGGAGAGGAGTGCCGTTATTTCGGTGCGCCGTTCTCCCTACCTTCCACGGCCTAGACGGGGCCTAATTTAAAGAATCACATTTATAAAAAAAACTGTTCAGTTGATTTGACTGAAACTTTCGTTAACTATACCTATTATAGTTTGTAAAACGATGATGATTGAAAGTTTATATGAACACAACAAAATTAATAGTTTGAGAAATTTAGAAGCTTCCAATGTAAGCTGAGACCATTTCTATATGGTCGAGCATATTAATAGGATTCAGCTTAGACAGGGCGCGCGTCGGTAGGACGCCGGCGCAGGTAATAGCTAAACTCAATTTGAGTTTAACTTTAGCCTGACCAATCTTTTGTATATAATACTAGCATTGCCCGCGGCTCCGCCCGCGTTCAGATGACCAAAAACCAAATTCTTAGGTTTTACATATTAGTATACATTTTATCCTCCCATTAGTATCCTCTCGTCCCGAATACCGCATTGTCTCAAGACAAAAGTCTTCGACCAGGGTGTGTTGCCAGTAATGACATACGGCACAGAGACGTGGCCGCTCACGATGGGCCTCATAAGAAAGCTCAAGGCCACACAGAGAGCAATGGAAAGGGCTATGCTCGGGGTTTCCCTGCGAGATCGAATTAGAAATGAGGAGATACGCAGAAGGACCAAGGTCACCGACATAGCCCTCGAAATATCCAAGCTCAAGTGGCAGTGGACGGGGCACATCGCTCGTAGAACAGTCGGTCGTTGGGGACGGAAAGTTCTGGAGTGGCGGCCACGTACTGGAAGGCGAAGCGTGGGCAGGCCTCCCACAAGGTGGACCGATGACTTGGTCAAAGTCGCTGGATTCCACTGGATGCGGATGGCGCAAGACCGGTTGTCGTGGAAATCTTTGCGGGAGGTCTATGTCCAGCAGTGGACGTGTTTGGGCTGAGACGACGATACTCTTACATTGCGGTTTTTGTATTTTTTCTTAGAAATGAGACATTTTCCCGCCGTAAAAAGTATCCTATATGTTGACCCGGATAACCAGCTATCACCATACCAAAATTCATCAAAATCTGTCCAGTGGTTTTCTCGTGATGCGGTAACAGACAGACAGACAGACAGACAGACAGACAAAAATTCAAAAACTATAGATTCGGACTCTGTATCGATAATAATGTCTATTTCAATTAGATTTTCCAAAAAATATTTAATGTACAGATTCGACTTAGTTACAATTTTATTATATGTATAGATGTATAGAATACAAAACAGACAGAGCCACATTTTAGGTTATCTATATCTATACAGATAGGGACATAAAATTATATGTCTGTTTGTAATGTCAAAATAACAGGTTTTCACAGAATTCATGTGAAATTATATTTATGGCACATATAAGAAAAACATTTTTTTTAATTTTGTCTGTCTGTCTGTTACTTCCGGCTAATCCCCGAAACGGTTGAACCGATTTTGACGAGTATTTCACCGGCAGGTAGCTGATGTTATAAGGAGTAACGTTAAAAATTACGCTACTTTTATTTAAAAAAAATATTAAGGTCGGGCCCAAAAAAAATTAAAACCCTTGAAATTGAGAACAAAATCCGCGTATCCGAGAGAAACGAAGGTAAGTCGCTAGTGCTATCATAAACATAATTAACTAGCATCCTCAGATGATATATAAGGATGAAAACTAAATATTGTTAACGATGTAAATGGTTACTTATTATAGAGTTCCTATAAACATACAAAAAACATAAAATAAAATAATACTTGTATAGCCAATTTTCATGACATTTGGAAATGTCTTAATGTGTATCCCTTTTCACATAAGACATTACTTTTAAAATATTTTTATTACGTTATGTTTTTTTTTCGGTTTTCGGATTTGTAGATAGCTTGTAGAAAATGTGCTCGTTGATCTTAGACCCACAGAATACCCACATTTTTATAAAGCATTAAATTAATAGAGTAGTAATTCCCAAAGTGGTCTAGGTGGACCCCCAGGGGTCCACGGGAGAATCGACAGTTCTCGTGTTCGACGTTGGCGTGAAAAAAATGGGGCTTCACAAGTTGTAAACTGCTTTAAAGTCTAGAGGTTGTGAGAGCCAATGTCTTAAGCTATTAGATAGTATTTACACAGGTAATGATTCCTAACTTTATTTATTGTATGGAGGGTAGAGAGAGGAGTGATGACGCTGGCGTACGAAAAATTACGATACGAATTTAACTGTTGTAGACGGAGTGAAGTGTGCCGAGTTCGAAAATTTAATTTTTTTCATGACTAAAGTAGTTCATGAAATACCAGTGTACAAAACCTCAATTATTTACGTAATACGTAGTCTAAAATAATTTAGTAAATATAACCATCCTTATGTATTTCTCTATCTTACTCTAATTACTTTTGGCGCGGCTCACCAAATCCGACCCCACAGGATATTTTTTTTTAATTTTATTTTTTAATTTCACGTATCGTTTGCTCGACGTTTGTTCTTCATAGTTCTCCATAAATAATTATTTGTTTGTAAATTAACTGACACATAAATAGGCACTAACGAAAGAACAAAAATATTTTATAAACGAACAAACATTCATGAATATTTAAAGACTACTAGTAACAAGAAAAAAAATATAAATTTCGATTGAGGGCGCAATTTGGAGTTACACACAAACAATTATTTATGGCGAACAATCAAAAACAAACGATGAACAAACGGTATGCGGAAATAAAAATTTAAAAATCAGAAAAAAAACATTCTGGGGGACCTGGTTTGGTGAGGTTTTTAATATAAAGGGTAGAAGTAAGGAGGACCGTCTTGTTCGGGATTAGTTGAAAAAGTGTCCACTTGTAAACAGCAAATTATTTTTCGAACACTCACCGAAATAGCGCTAGTGTAGGAAATGGAAATAATATGAATTTAGCAGTTATAAACAGAGTAAAGTGTGTTGGGTTGAAAATTTGCTTGTTACAATTTTATTTATTTTTTAATTTTGGTTATTATTTAATACTATTTTCTATTTGCTATTTACAAATAATTGGGGTACTTAAAAATACTCTATAATTTTATTCCATATTCATGTGTCTGTATATTATAATAATTAAAAAAAATGCGCTGTAACAAAGCGGAAATTTTTCTTTCATTTTTAATTTAGTGTCATACTCTAATAATTAGTGGCGCTCCTTTTAAAATTCTTCCACTTGCTACTATAGCGCCACCTTAATTTGCTCCCTTTCAACGGAGTCTTTTTAGTACACGGAGATGGCCCTCCTTACTACCCTCCATAGTTTTTGACGCTTCTTTTAGTTATCCTACGCTACCGCAGCGCCACCCTTATTGGACGCGTTTTGATGGACATTTTTTAATACATAGTGGGCGTTTTCCAATGGGGAAGAATTTTGTCATTTTATCCCCCTAGATGTCACGATCATTTTATCCCTCAGGATATTTTAAAGCTCTATAGCCAGAATGGATTTTTTTCGTTTTATTTAAAATTTAATTAAAATGACAAATATCTGCCAGGATGCAAAGAAAATGGATATCATTTGTTTCCCAAAAGACCAAAACTGAAGAAATTGTGGTATAAAGTAATAAGACGACCAAAATTGGCGAAAAAATGCTAAAGCACGTATTTATTTAATTGTATTGAAGGGCCAGCTAACACCAAGTTTCAAGTAATTGTGATCTTAAATTATTCTTTTCCCATATAAATTTTATTATCCCCTTTTACCCCTTTAAGTGATGAATTTTGAAAAAATGAAATAAATATATTTCTAATTTTTATCTTAACGCGAAACACCATTTTCTGTGTATTACATTAAGAATGATAGAGTTTCATACAATCTTTGATGCCCTATTTTACCCACTCAGGGGATGAATATCGAAAAATCCTTTCTTATCGGATGTTTACATCATATAAGGAATACGTCCTCCGAATTTTACATTACTGCGACCAGCAGGTTAGGCTGTGTGTTGATCCATCAGTCAGTCAGGATCACCGCAGGGTGCACTTCTCAATTCTTCCTTCAGCTGGTCTAACTTCCAGGCACATTGCACAGGTAACTTGCGAACATAATAGAAGCAAAAAACCAGGTATAAAAGAGATAATAATAAATTGCTTAGCCTCAGGCTGAATGTAAATAGGCCATACGTGTGTCGCCCTCCTATTGAGAAATCTTTCGTATTGGAAAACAGGGAGTGAGTCCTCCTTACCTCTAACCTCTACGCCCCATACCTATTGCCATTTGCCATAATCAATTGACTGTTGACTTATTACGTCATTTGTCAAAGAATATGATTGACTGATCACTGATAAAACTTCTGACAAAACATATGTAGGTTTAGTCTGTGAAACGACTTTACAAAGATAGCAATGAACAAGTTATGAACTTAGATTATTAGATAGTATCAAAATACGACGAATTTAGTTAACAAAAGAAAATGATAAACCCTACGAAATAAAAAGTGAATCAAATAAAAAATACATAATTTAAAAATAGGCAAATTTTATATCTTCTACAATGATATTTTCCAAAGGAGCTATATCGTTAATTTGTGTGCTTATAGTTTTCTCGATGTTTATGGCTAATTTGTTAAATATTATTGCTATAGATCATACATTTGATAATGCGAATAAAATCGAAGGCGAGAACTTTACTGACTATTTAGGACAAAAATATGGACAAATTACTGATTCGTCACATAATCTCGTCTGGTTTTTACAGGTATGACAGAGAAATTATAAGTAATTTAGCGGTAAATTTATTTAAGTTCGTGTCTTAGATTTAAAAATAGTTGCCTTATAATTAATTTGTGTTGCTATTTGACATATTACCAAAGAAAAACTTGGAAAAAGTAAGGTCCTCTACTCGAGGTTTCTTGATAAAAAGTAAAATAAAAAGACAAAAAGTACAAGAAAAATCTAGTGTTATTATATGCATGTATGCAATTTTTTTTAGATCTCAGATATCCACCTAAGTATATTTCGAGACCCAGGAAGGATATCACAATTTCAACAATTTTGTGATAGCACTGTGAAAACTATAAAACCTTATGTTGTATTAGCTACTGGAGATCTTACTGATGCAAAAACAAAAGATAATCTCGGAAGTTCTCAAGTTAAAACAGAATGGATATATTATTATAACATTATAGAAGAGTCTGGAGTCACCAAAAATACTACATGGTTAGATATAAGAGGAAATCATGGTATGTCTCAAATGCTTCATTTTTTTACATTAATTATTATTGTTATTTTATTTATTTGATTCAATTTTACTACAATTAATTAAAATGTTTATCTTTTCAGACAATTTTAATATTAGAACAATAAATTCACCAGAAAATTACTTCAAACACTATTCTGTACAAGGAGGAGTTAATCCTAAATCTTATGTTCATATTATAGATCATAATGGAGTCAAAATTGCATTTCTGGGTATTGATGCATGCCCTGAGCCAGGTTTGCGACGACCTTTTAATTTCATTGGTATTTTAGACAACCAAGAACAAGAAAATATAAGAAAATTAAAAATTGAAGCAGAGACTAATGCTGATCATGTCATTTGGTTTGGGCATTACCCAACATCATGTATACTAGCATTAGCAAATGACTCACGGAAATTGGATTTGCGAGAACTAATTGGTAGTTTTGGAGGATCTCAAGTGTATGTGTGTGGCCATTTACATTCTATGGGAGGACTTATCAAAAGAATGTATACCAAACATAAGAAAGGGTATCTGGAGCTTGAATTGGGTGATTGGAAAGATAATAGAATGTATCGCTTGGCAGCCATAGACCATGGGTTATTTTCCTTTGTGGACCAAAGACATAATACTTGGCCTATAGTATTGGTGACAAATCCAAAACATGCTAAATTCACTTTACCTGGGCGGGAACCACTTCAGCTAATACCTGATTCAACACACATTCGAATATTAGCATTTAGTGATGTGAAAATAAATAATGTAAAGATATCTTTTGACAAAATAAGTTGGCTAAATTGTAAAAACAAAGATGGACCTTTGTATACTTGTTATTGGTTACCACATTTGTTTGAGAGTGGGTTACATATATTGCATGTAGTAGTGACTGATGAAATTGGCAGAGAGGCAGTTTTAGAACACCCATTCTCATTAGATGGCACTAAATTGTCATTTGAAGTTATACCAAGGATAGTGCTCATGTTGGATGCTGGCATGGTGGTAAGAGATTTTGTTTGCATATGGTAGATTGCATAAGATATAAAACCTATTTTGAATAAAATTGAAAAATATATTATATTAGATATCTTTTTAATGATCAATCATGTTTGTGTTGTATAAAAAGTGTAAGGTTCTTGGAAGGATTTAATATTTGTATTAGCAGATATTATTCCAGATATACTAAGTTTGGTATTTATTGTCATAATAATGATATTTAAATTCTCCAAAAAAGCTACATGTCGCTATGAATATGTGCTATTTATTTAAAACATGTATTAATAAAAAAATATAGTTTCAGGGAGTGTTTGGGACGCTGCTATTAATGCATGTGCTAACATTGGTAGTACTGAGGCTTCATAAGAGGTCGCCTAGTCATAGAAAATATGGTCAACTGATATTGAGATTTTGGTTGTTGGCTAAAGTTGATAGAATATTCTATCCCCTTGTGCTGTATGCTATATACATACCGTTTGGACCTTGGGCGATTGGAGAACTCATTGATGGTCATATTGGGGCCATTTTTGCTTGGGGCATACTGATCAAAGGAGTATTTCTACCCGAACCATTCACATATATGTATGGCAGTGTGCAATTGATGTTCGTCCAAATACCTCTAATGTTTATTTTAGCCAACTGCTTAGAAATGAGACTGGCACATTGTAATCTAAAAGGCTTTAGAGGACTTCTTAGAAATTTGCCATTTATTATATTACTTTCAATACAGTCATTATTGGCTTACTTTTTCTGGCTGGAATATGGAACATTATCATTTCTGTTGAGTCCATTAAGAACATGGAGTATTGGTTTGAGTGTTACATTGTGGTATAAAATATTGACGCTGCCACATGAATATGGGAGGTAAATATTTTTTATTTTTTTATTTTAGTAAAGCTTTATAATAATACCTGATATTAATGAGACGATACGTCAGTTTGTACGGCTGGCGTAGCAAGTAGGGTCACGTACTTGCTGCGCCAGCGGTCGCGGGTTCGAGTCCCGCTGGGGGCATTCATTTGTGTGCTGAGCATGAATGTTTGTACTCCAGTCATGGGTGTTTATATTTATAATATGTATGTATTTAAAAGTTACTCGAATGCTTTACAGCATCCATGGTCACGGGATATATATACAATAATTGCTCGTTTAAAGATATAAGATAGAGACAGAGTGTCATATGTACGACTAAACATGACGCAAGGCTATTATAAACGGCTCCAACGAGTTTCATGAAATTTAGCATGCAGGAGGTTTCGGGGGCAATAAATCGATCTAGATTAGTCTTATGTCTGAGAAAACGCGTGTTTTTGAGTTTTCATGCAGTTTTCTTTTGCATTATTCCACGCAAAATACGGTCGGTAATTTGCACGCTCTGGTGTAAGCATCGTGGTCAAGCAGCTAAGGTGCAAGATCGACAATCACAGGTGTCCAATTTCGTATCTCGGTCGCGTACAAAGTTTTTACTTTTGTTTTTTTTTTAATATTTATTCAAGTTTTTAGTTTAAAAAAAAAAGAAAATTGTACTCTAGGCCAAAAACTCCGAGCGAAGCTCGGTAGCCCAAGTACTTATTCCATAAACTGAGTAAATAACGTGTTAGCTCTATTAGCAACGAAAGCGTGGACCTATAATGAAAATAAATAAGACTCGAATATTTTAAGGGTATTATAATGTACTAAGGATTTCCCGCAGCTCCGTCCGTGTAGTTTAATAATTATTTATTACTATATCTTCATAAATTATAGCTGTGATACTCTGCTGTATTACTGTTGAGTTTCATCAAAATCCGTTCGTTCGTGTAGTTTTTGCGTAAAAGTCCAATAAACATACATCCATACACCTTTTGCCTTTATAATATTCATAGGACTATTCAATTTCAAAATTCAAATTCAAAATATTTTATTCAGCTGTAATTATTACAATTTTTGCTGAACGTCATGAATATATATTTATATATTCATGACGTTCAGCAAAAATTTAATCTAGTAATAATAATAATCGATAAATAAACAAGTTCGAAAAAAAGAAGTCTCCGATCTGAGAAGAACTGGCGAAAAAAACTACAACGGCACTAAAATATATATTTTTTTTTTTATATCTTTTTTGTAGTTAAATTATAAATTACTAGGAATTAAAGTAGCTTGGAGGCGATCAGATGGCCAAGGCGTGCGACAAACAAACAGACGCTATTATTAATTACTAGCAGAACCCGTGGCTAAGCCCGCATTCAATCTACAAAATAAAAACTCTTAGGCTAGTGTTATACCGGTTTAGCTATGTATTTATATAATATTGTTCATACAAAAATACTAAAATCGCGATAAAAATTGGGGTTGGGGTATATGAGGGTGATCCCCCCCAACGTGCGTTCACCTTGTCGTGGTGGGGGGGCTCAGTAGTGTACTCACGAAGCCAAGAAACGCACAGGGAGGTGGCCCGCTTCGGTGGGCGGTGGGAGGCGGCCTTCTTCGGAGGGTGGTATACCATGCGGGTTGCTCCTGGTACTTCTCTGATAGCAGAGTGGACCGTGGAGCAACCCCATGGTTGTTGTGGTCTGCTTCGGCAGACCTGCCGTCGGGGCGTCGTAGTTGAATGCGTAAGCGATCCTGCGACGCCCCATTAAGACGGGGGAAGGTTTTGTTGGGTTTTAGTGGGTAGTACTGGCTTCGCCGGTGAGTCCCACACTTCGTGCGTAAATGCATTTCCCAACGTTAAAAAAAAAAAAAAAAAAATATGAGGGTGAAAAATACTTTACGACCTATTCTCATAACCACCAGAAACACCTTGACACGAGATATTTATATTTTAGATACTCATAATATTTTTTCATTTGTCATTTTCATACTTGATTTCATGTTTCTGAAAAAATATTAATAAATTATTTTATTTTTTTTTCAGATATCTAGCCAGATTGAGCAGAGTGGCGTAAATTTACAAGCAGCTAATGAAGTTTACTTTTTAAAATTTTATTCATCGAACTATCTAGTTTCTTAACGTTTATTAGATTTAGATTGTATACAACAGTCATTTACCGAATGTGTATATACGAGTATTTATTGCACCAAAGAGTTTTCATATTTGAAATAATTGCAAATTTCTTAGTCCTTAAATGTGATTTTTACTAGAAAGTATTAAATATTTTATTATAGTACAATTTGTTCAAATTAATGAATATGTATATTATTAATTTGACTGTATCAGTGATATTAAATATATATTTTTTTCATTTTAAAATGAAATAAATCAAATTTAGATATACTATTTTGATTTTGTAATGTTTTTTAAATTATCTATGTTGTTTATATTGTATTATGAATCTAAATTATTTGTTAATCACTTCTATATAATAAACTCACAATAATGTGAGTGAGTGAGTGAGTCAGTGAATGAAATGTATACTTAACACCACATGAGTAAAAGTTTTTATGTGGCTTTTGTCGCTTTTGATGAGATCCTATTGGAGTTTTTCAATAGGTACATGGATTAGTAGACTGGTAGTAGTGCACCCGTCGCGCGATTATATGAAGTGGATACTTACTCATGTGTTAACGATGTATTGGCTCAACGGATTGGAGTGAAATTTTAGAAGGTTCTAGATTAAGGCGGTATCTCTAAAATAAACTAAGTCGATGTAGTTGCTCAGCCTCTCGATGATAACCGTGAGGTTTAATCATGTACGCAAATTATGAGATGGGTATATTGATAGCGTCAAACATTTTTTTTAAATCTTTATGGATTTAAATAAGTGGAGATATAATTAATCGTTGACTATGTTTTTTCATGGACAAATACGTTATAATAACGTGTGAACAAACAAAAAATATAATAATTCAAAGCTGCTTAATTTAACGAGAAAAATTTATGAGTACAATGTATGCAAATATAGTAGTATGTATATTTAAAGAGCATACCTAAAAATAGTATTTATATTATGTTATCGTAAAGAAATACATAGCAGAGAATATACACTTTTTATAGATCCACATATTCTACAGGCAAAAACTAACAATAAAAACAAAAATAATTTTTTTCTAGTGGGTATTCAAGTATCATTATTCATTTACACTGGTCTGCAAAATTTTTTTTTTGTTCTTTATGCATGAGAATATTATGTTTGGAGCTCCTGAATCGAAATTTACCAAAAATAAATGTGTGACATATATTTTTTCATAATGTTTATTTTTTTGAATAAATGCTATTTTTGTTTACTAAATTAACTAAAAATTAATTAATATAATTACTAAGAGGCTATAAAGTTCAATAATTTAAGTAGAAAAGTCATCAGGATAACTATATTATAAAATAATTCCAGCTACTTTGTAGTTTTCCACTCAAACATACATACATATATAGACTGATAAACACATTACCCTCCTTTGCGTTGCACAGTTGGGTAAAAAGCAGCCCATACTCTTTTTTTTTGCTTTATTCGACTTCGTATTAAAAATTTCGTAATTGAACAAAGACAATCGGATGGCAACTTTTCAACATCGACTACCGCAAAACCCAAACAACTGCGCAAGCGCATCTGTATGAGCCTGGAAATAGCTTACACAGAAGACAATGACTTCATTGTCTTTTTTACCCTCAGCTGGAACTGATCATTTCGGTATTGATGATGTGATGTTCTCCTAGCCGTTTCAGGCTACGGCGGCCAATCTCATTGAGACTAGCCAACTGCGCAGGAGATATTATAGTGCACAAGTGTACGCGCAGACACAAGTGCACTCTCTATTCCTGTCACTCTCATACTCCGGTGGGACGACCACTCGACACGACCAGTGAGAGTTAAGGCGCAGGACCGACGGCTTTACGTGCTCTCCGAGGAACGGGGGTGAAACACCGCCAACTTCTCAACTCCGGGCTGTTACTGAGGCTTACTATACAGAAAAACACAATAGCTAAACTTAGCCCGACCCGGGACTCGAACCCAGGACCTCCTGGTGTGCAGCCGTACATGCTAGCAACTACACCACCGAGGCAGTCAATCATCAAATCAGTTCGGTATTGATATTAAAGGAGTGTAATGTGAAAACAAAATTCAATGAAATCGTAATTTTGATATTGTTCAAAACGAACACGTTGGAAAAACAAATTTCATAAAATTTAGATGTGATATCAAAAAACGGACAAAGGGAGTTGTCTGGGGAATCTAAATCTTCGTAGTAGTGATAATCTATTTGAAGGAGGATTCCGTTGCAGACCAGTTTTCTTAACATTTCTAAAAACAAACCAATGATTCAAGTATTTGTTAGTTATCGTTTAGCAGTAAAAATGTTTTGTGATAAATTTAAGAAATATGTATATTATCTATGTACATTATACACTTTTAAAATATTGTACAACCAAATATAAAAAGACTATATAATTATTATATGTTTAAATTATGCATTTAGTTATCTTTTATATATTACTATATTGTTTCGATTAAATCTTGCTAACATGTCTGAAGCGCTTAAATTTTATAAGTGTAACTTTTTTATTACTTATATTTTATAAGTATTCAAGTAAAATAGAATAATGTTAGAATTAAAGTAGCGATTTTAATATGGATCTCAATATGGCTCCTATTAGTGCAATATGACTTAAAGATGAATTGAGACGTTCATTTAATGTCAAAATGAGTGAGTGATAACTGATATAGATTATGGACGGAATTTAAATTACTTGTGCTATTTCTTTATACTATAGATATTATAGAATATGTGAATCGTAGCATGTTCCATTATTATTAGTTACTGCATTATACATTTTTGTATATCACCTACTTAAGCGTTTTTAATCGATGTATAAAATGAAAAAAAAAACATTTTTTAAAACTGCTCTTATTTAAATGCTCTAAAAAGAAAAAATAACTTTAAATTGAATCAAACCCATCAATTTATTACATTACACAATTTATATAAATATAAAAGTTTCGTCCGAGATTTACTGTCTTTACAAAAAAAATAATTAAGATTTTGTTTCTTGTTTATCTTCACAGGTCAATTTTCGGACAAGCTTTATTTCATCTTACCTTATAAAACGTGTATTGTAATAAATTGATGGGTTTGATTTAATTTAAAGTTTATTTTCTTCTAAAATATTTAAATATAAGCATGTTTTAAATTTTTTTTACAATTATTTTATTTTTTTATGTTTTAGTTATTCGTATTCTTCTCAGCAACCTCTTTCATTTGATAGGTACGCTATTTTAGGGAGTCCGCCATAATAGATTTAGAATAACGTCACTTAGCTAACCTTGCATTGTCATCCAAACTTAACGTGCATGCAGAATTTCAGCTCAATCGGTTGAGGATAACTGCTTTAAATAAATCAGTTACAACATTTGACCTAATCTATCATACCTACTAACACGGCAAGTTAAATAAAAGCTTGTAAAATACCTAATAATCATTAATTAACAGGTTAATATTAGTTAAAACAAAAACATGAGTTTTAGAAGAAGGTCACGTGATTTCGGGTGTTTACAGCAGATTAATGGCCACCTGCATGATAGACTTATTTGATATTTTTAACGACTGTCAAATTGTATCTACTATTTTGAGTTTTCTCAAAATATTCATTAGTTTATGACATCTAAATTAAATGAAGAAGTTTATTGCAGATACCTTAAAAAATAATATTGTATTTAAGATAATTATTACATATGGAAACATTGACTTCAAAATCGATTTTTAGAGGTCCCACTAAAATGGTCTAATCATAAAAGAAAGAATATGTAATGAAAATTTGTTTAATTTGCGGAAATATTGCCTAACATACTACACGCTCAAAAAAACCAATTGTGTGCTTATGTTGGTCAAATGTGGTAATTTGGACCATTTAGCACAACGTAGGTAAGTACCTATACTAAAAATGGATGAAGTAGGTATTATTTTTTTTAAACATAAACACAATAAATAAAAAATTATCGAGTGTTTTTTTATTTAGAATTTAAAATATAACATCATCGTTTTTGTTGATATAAAATTTGTAATAAAAGCAAAATATGAAAAAAACAAGAGAAGGAGTTTAAAAGAGAACTATATTATTTTATGCATATAGATATGTATTTGTATATAGAGTATAATATATCTGTATAGACCGTCTATTTATATTTATGTACTTGTAAATAACGAAAATTTTAACAATTTTAGATAACTAATTGCCTACATGTGTATTTTAATAGACTACATTTTATGTATGGGAGTAAGAAGCGAGAGAATGTCGACCAATGTATCTTACCAATATTACAATCTTGATAAAATTCGATGTAAACAAATGAGCACATTAAAAATATTCTGTAGGTCTGTTTGTTTTATTTAAGTTTGCTTTTACCGGTGAACTAATATTAATCCGACATTAAATATGTTATAGTTGTATCACATATGTATATATAATTAATAATACCTATGATGATGTTCTCCTAACGGATTCCGGCCACGGCGGCCAATCTCATTGAGAGGAGGCAACTGCGCAGGAGATATTGTAGTGTACGCGCAGATGCGCGCAGACAAGTGCACTCTCTATTCCTGTCACTCTCATATTCCGGTGGGACGACTGTTCGACACGACCAGTGAGAGTTAAGGCGCAGGACCGACGGCTTTACGTGCTCTCCGAGGCACGGGGGTGAAACACCGCCAACTTCCCAACTCCGGGCTGTTACTGAGGCTTACTATACAGAAAGACTGGATAACTAAACTTGGCCCGACCCAGGACTTGAACCCAGCATCTCCGGGTGTGCTGCCGTACATGCTAGCCACTACACCACCGAGGCAGTGAATAATACCTATATATACAGTATAATATAATTTAACTAGCGACTCAACTTCGCTTCGTAGGTAGGAAGGAGGGTAAGTAAGGTAAGCTTGTACTTACATATTATATTAAGTCGCAGACATATTGTTTGTTTCATCATTAATCATTATATAAACGGTCTGTTTGCAAACGCTTGCTGTTTTATATGACGAGGCAAATTGTGAACTTTGCAAAGTAAAACAAACCAACCATAAGCAATCTTTATTACCAACTAGCAGGACCCGCGGCTTCACTCGCACTAAAACTGTAAAAAAATCTCTTAAAAATTTAGTGTCATACAAACTTTTATCCCCAATTGTACCCTCTTATAGGATGAATTTCGAAAAATGCTAAAACACGTAGGATTTATGTAATTTTATTAAAAAGCATTAATACCAAGTTTCAAGTAATTCTGATCATAAATATTTTTTAATTGTGTTATAACGTGTTTTCCCGTGGGAAATAGATAATCTCCCGCGGTAAAAAATATCTCATCCCTCTAACTATCTCCATACAAAAAATCACGCTAATCCGTCACTCCGTTTCGACGTGCAAGAAGAACAACCAAACAAACACACTTTCACATTTATAATATTAGGTACGATCTTTGTGTCATGTTCAAATGTGTTATGTAGGTCGACTGCTGATTTTTTTCGCTTGATTTGATCGCTTCTCATACTTTAAGGTGTCGTTACGATTTATGTAAGGACTTGAAATATTTAGCACATTGGTATGATAAAAACAAACCAAATTGTTAATAAAAAATTTATTTTTTCTGGAATACGTATTTACAATTTTTATCTAATCTCTGATTTTTCTGATGATTTTAATAATCTAATCTCACTTTTTCTTAGTAGGTAATTAAATATATAAAATTATCCTACTTAATATCATGTACTTATCTCTAAACATAAGATGTCATGTAAGAAGTCGTTCATTATAAATAATACTTATAAAATATGTAAAAATAAAAGCATATGCATATATTTTATCACTATAATATATATACTATGTACCTGTATTTTATGGAACGTTCGTTCCTCACCCATTAAAAGGATATTTCAGATCGATAATACCAACACCTTAACCTTAAATACTATCATGTAATGTTAATGATCTTCTATTAATATATAATATATATTAATTTTCAATTCATTTTTTTTTCTTTCAAATTCAGTTATCATTAAGAAAAGCATTACATCAATATTATCACAGTTTATCTATCTACATGCTTTAAATACTCTGTATTTTAATACACATATAAGAGAGATTTTGAGTAATACAATCCATACAAATAAAGCTATTATATCGGCTGAAAAGTTTTGAGACAGATGTAAATAATCTAGATATTTCTGAGGATATTTGAAAAGGCACAATATTTCATGGCAAGGAAGTACTTGTCGGTTGAATCCGTATGCAGTTTGAAGGAAAGCGTCGAAAGCGTATCGGAAGTAAGATATTAAGGCTAGGGGCTGTAAGTATGAGGGCATTTCATGATATGGGATAAAGAACTCCGAGAACATTAACATCGGAATATTTGCGGCTGGTATCACGAACAGTCCGAGCTGTAAAAAGAAAAAAATAATTATTTATATAACTAACGGAATGGAGGTATTGTCAAAAAAGTGTCATATGGCGCCATTTTCCCAATATGGCGGCACGAACGGCAAAAATACGAGGTGGCAAAATTGAAATTTGGAAAGAGCACATCGAAATCTATAAAATATAGGATTTTTTATATATATTACAATCAATTTTTTACTACTTCTGCAATAATGAGAGGAGTTCGTTTTACACACCAGTGAAAAAAAGAATATTTACCAAGATATTATAATGGTCTGTATTTTGTATCAGAATCGTATGTTCGCCGTTCCGTAAGATTATTGGAAACAAATCGAAAAGAAGACAAAAACAGACGGTCATGACACTTATTTCAAAATCATAATTTTTTCTTTTTTCAAATTTATTAATAAGTAGGTATATAATGTAGAATAAACACTGGCGTGCAAAAAAATCGGGCCACCTAGAGAAAATGGACAAACTTAAGATATGATGTTTTTTTATTAATTTTGTTATTATATTTGGGTAGCTGTATACCCTAGGTACCTAAATCAATAATCGTTGAATAATTTAAATAAAAATTATTGCTCGAAAATAGAGAAAAATCAAATTTAATGATTTTTCGCGAGTTTGGTATAAAAATGTAAGCCGCAAATTAATGGGAAAATTAAAAGATTTCGATTGGTTTTATGATGTTTAATAATGCGTATTACCGCCTCTATTTTTAATTACAGCTTTAATTCGGCTTTTCAGAGATTTGACACACTTTTTTAGATAATCTTGTGTAATAGACTCCCATTCTTCCAATAAGGCGCTTTTTAATTCTTGAATGTTGCTCGGGACTACTACGCGACTTCTAACTTTTCTTTTGAGATGGTCCCGTACATGCTCTATCGGATTGAGGTCAGGGCTCCGCGCTGGCCAGGTAATAGTAGACACTCCGACCTCTTGAAGATACTGCCTTACTGATGTAGCAGTGTGTGGGCGAGCATTATCTTGTAGAAGCAGAAAATCTTCTTCAATGAACCCAGTAAAAGGCATCACATGATCTTTTAAAACCTCCGTTATATACCTAGCGGCTGTAAGGGATCCATTTTCTATGAATAAAAGCTCGGTTTTCGCATCGTAACAGAATCCTGCCCAAAACATAACTGAGCCCCCTCCATATGACACTGTTTCCCGCATAGTACATGGTGATATATTTCACCTGGTCGCCGGTAAACAAAATTACGGCCGTCGGCACCATGCAAACACATTCTGCTTTCGTCAGTAATAAGAACCTTCTTCCACTGCTCCAAATTCCAATTCACGTGATCTCGGGCAAAAAGTAATCTTGCAATTCGATGTGCAGGGGTGAGTTTGGGGCCAGTTGCGGACTTGCGTGGCATCAGGGAGGCGGCTCTAAGTCGGCGCCTTACTGTCCTCTCGCTAACATTAACACCTCTCACTTCTCTCAGGAGATTTCGAACGTCAACCCCTGTGCGATGACGATTTCTTAGAGCTGATGACACAATAAATCGATCATCACGCTCTGATGTGGCTCTTCGTCGGCCGGAACCATGTCGTCGTACAAAGCCATCAGTCTCTATGTAACGTTTGTACACTCTCTGGACCGTAGAACGGTTCACAGAAAAAGCTTGAGCCACTTGACGTTGACTTTGTCCAGTTTCAAGCAAAGTCACAATTCGAAATTATTCGGCCTCGGTCAGATCCATCTTGCAGTATTTCTAACAATCGCAGATCAAAGTAGAAGTGTCTTGTTCAATAATTGGAACTCAACTAAGCTTCTAAAATAACAAAAAACAGTATTTGTGGCTTCAATCCATATTATGCAAATATTCACTAATTACTGCTAATTGACTATAATTAAGCGTACACGTGCATTTCCAGGAATTTTATGACTTTTTTTAAGGAAACAAAGGCGTCTAATCTCCTTAATTACCTTTGCGGTATTTTTTTTCACCAAACTATTGTCAACAAAAAATTATGCTTAAAATCAAGGTTGGCCCGATTTTTTTGCACGCCAGTGTATATTTGAAGATTTTTTATTACTGCCCGTGGTTCTAATGTTCAATTTCTGAACATTTTTTTCTGTTTTTGTAATGATCAAACGCGTGTCTATAATAAAGTGGATAAAAGTTTTGATACTGGTGTGGTTAACAATTTTTTCTTATAAATACATACTTATAATTGAAAAATACCTTGACGCCGCAAGCAGCTCCTACAACCAAGCCAAACGTTTGGGCTAAGATTGTTATTAAGGCACAAATAAGCCATGCGAGGCCGAATCTATGGGCTTCCAGGGGCTGGGACGTCAGGTACCACGCGGGTATAATGAAGACTGTTGCACATAATAACTGTAAATAAATATGAATGCATTTTTTGAATCATACATAAATTAAAGAAACATAATTATATAATATACCAATGTCTCTATTAATTATGTAAAATTAATTTTAGGAATGGAACGATCTCAATATTGTTGCATTTTATGCATATGTAAAACTTATTACATGTAAACTGCAATGCCTAGACTGATATTGTATTTAAATTTTACAACTATGATGTACTAGAACGAATGATTTCTTCAATAAATTATGCAATATTTATTATTCGTTATTTTAAATTATAAAGTATCATTCTAAATTAGTTCAATAAACGAGCATAGGTTTAAATTTAAAGTCAAAATTTGAATTTAATTTTGAAGAAAAAAAATTGTTTGTATAACTATATTTGATAAAAACGTGATAAAATAAATTAAAAGGCAAATTATAACAAAAAGATAAAACATGTTGTTCTGTCACAGCACATTCCGCTCGAGCTGATAAGCATACAAATGTCTCTTTAAATAAAACACAAAACAATATGGCTAGATATAACATAATATGCGGCCTTGAATTTATAATGTGTTAATCTAAACTCGTATGAAAATGTTAAAACTTCAAGAGTAATGACAATACTTAGTAGGTGTTCTAATTTAACTTAAAGCGAAAGTTCAGTAGATATATCATTTTAAAGATATTAGGTGTTAGGTAAAGTAAGGTGTGTGTGTAAAGAGTTAATCATTTTTTTTGTATCGCATAATATTTTCTGGCTTTATCATCATTAGGTAATTGCTGATTTCAGCTCAATTATTTCTATGTACTCTTACATTGCCGTTTTTGCATTTTTTCTCAGAAATGAGAGACTTTCCCGCGGTAAAAAGTATCTTATATGTTAACCCGGATAACCAGCTATCACCATACCAAATTTCATCGAAATCCCTCCAATGGTTTTTCTGCGATGCGGTAACAGACAGACAGACAGACAAAAGTTCTAAAAACTATAGATTCGTCCTCTGTCTCGATAATAATGTTTATTTCAATAAGATTTTCCAAAAAATATTTAATATACAGATTCAGCTTAGTTACAATTTTATTATATGTACCTACCCATAGACTAGCGACTCACCCTCGCTTCGTTTAGGTTCGTCCCTAAGTACGTTTTGACGCTTAGTTTGAAATAGACTTTATTCAAGTTTTTTTTAATGATTTTTCCGATGTTTTTTCAATAGTTATTTTGCTATTCGGGGTCTTCACATGGATTTGTCTTCACAAATCCAACAAAACAAAGAGCATAAAAATCGGTCTGCAGTTCTCAAGTATAAGTGTTGTAACAAACCCGACTTTGTTGAATGTTCCAATTTCTATTGGGGAAAACATTTACGTTCAAGATTATAAAAAAGTTAAGAATTATTTATGACTTGGAATATAATACAGATAAATAATATAAGTTTAGTGGAGACTTACCCTCGCTTCGCTCGCGTGCATTCCTAAGTTTGAATGTTTATGAACGCATAAAAGATAAACATACGAACATTCATTTTTATTTATATATAAGAAGATAAGGTATGGTTACTATTACAATTAAAAGAAACTTGTTATTAAAATATATATTTACCTGTATCGGTAAATCTATTATTATCTTTGACGCGCAATACGTTGATAAGTAGTACCATTTGTTAAGATGTTCTTGAAGTACAACAGTTGACTCCACTGGGACTGCAAATAGCCAAATAATATAAACACGCGATCTTCCTAGAAAATGACAACGATATGAAACTAATATTATACATTAGGTATAATAATATCTTGGAGAAATCTAGAACTCGTATAGAAACACGGTTTTGAAGGCACTAGCCCTGACTTTGTCTTTAAATAAATATTTGAATACAGAGGCTTGATGTAAGTGGTAAGATATCCTATGGAGCCGTCATTAGATATATGGTTTCACAAGGGTCTATTTTTGGGATATATTTTTTTTTCGCATCTCGTTATAAAAATGATTTGCTTTTCTTTGTACAAATAAACACGGGATAATGTTGCTGATGAAATGTCGTTTATTTTTAAGTGAAACGTAATAATAACATATTATAACGGTTTTAAGCAATGTTACCTAAAATTTTTCTACATTTGTTAAAAAGAATCATAACATTTATAACACGTATTGTTAGAAGTTATTTATGCTGTGTTGTTAAATATAGAAGTATTGTAACCTGTAGAGTTCACTAGCTATATAGAGTCTTCGAAATGTTAGCATATTTTAGCTAAGGATGTTATTCCAGAAATCGTTTTTACAACTCGGTTTAAAAAATTAGGATTGTAGGAAAATAAAAACCAATATCTAATTAAATTATGATTTCTCAGACGACTTTTGTGTTAATAAAATATATATCTACATCTCTCATATACATATATATGATCGTAACCTTATGATATTTTACATTTTTGAGGTTCAAAATTTAATAACATGTACGTTTTTTACAATACGATTTAACGTTTAATATAGATTTCTCAGAGATGAGATATACACAGTAAAAAGTATCCTTTATGTTGACCCGAAACAGACAGACAAAAATTCTACAAACTATAGATTCTGCCTCTGTATCGATAATAATGACTATTTCAATAAGTTTTTCAAAAAATATTTAATGTACAGATTCGACTCAGAATTTTATTTTATGTATAGATTACTCGCTTATATGTATTTTACTTGGAATTGATAAAATGTGATAATTAGAATGTTTAGAGATAAATTGCGCACAATTAAAATATGAGTTAAAGCCTTTACATACGACGAACTATTGACTGCGCGTGTAAGTTATCAAGGGCTTTGCGAATGTACTTCTGTCAGCGATTCGTTAATGATTGCAGTCCGATGTTGCAGTTTTCAATAGCAACCGATACCATAGAAATGCGGGTCAGCTAGTTTTAGATTTTTAACTTGTGAAAATATAGCATAGTCTGTTTCTGTTTCAGGGCGCCTTTTTAAGTGTCGCGGGTGAAAATGTCCTCTCGTGTCGAAAATAAATCGAGAATAAATTACAAAGTTAATATTTAAATTAATTAATTTAACTTACACGTATGAATCGTTGGCATCGCGTTTGAAAAATAAAGGAATAATAAGAAGAAAAACAAGCAGCCCGTATTTGATATCATTCTACTAGCCTCAGCTCCCGCGCCATTGTATAAAGCGCCTAGTAACAATGCCACTATTAAATGAGTCACAAGTCGTATCTGTAAGTGAAAGATAGAAATAAATTTAATGTATCGCCTAAATAAATTAAATAACAAGGGGCATTAACGATACAAGGAAAACATTATATAAATAATTAATATATTCATAAGTAACACTCTTACATATTGCTTATCAAATATTAATTATAATTAATACAGATTAAGATTACTATAATATCTAGTATAGTATAATATGATCTGTGATTATATTGTTACCTATACAGATTAAGCCGGTACCTATAAGTATGGAGTATGTATATATACTAGCGACTTACCCTCACTTCGCTCGGGTAAAAGTTTCATAGGTTTTCATTTTTGTGTCTAAATTATTCCATATAACATCAGCTTTCTGCTAGAAAAAGTCCCGTCAAAATCGGTCCAGCCGTTTCGGAGAGCCAAAACAAACAGACAAAATTAAAAAAAATAATACTTATAAGTATCTATTACATATTTTGACATTACAAACAGACACTTTAATTTTATTAAATTGTATAAATAAATAAATTCAATAAAAAGACCTGCGTTAAATGAACGTCTCGAAGAGCTCCAATATATCCTCGACGAAGCAGTGCATTCATTTGTTGACCAAAATTAGCTTTATATCCATCCATGACATCGAAATTCGTATCTAGAAGTGCTTCAGTCTCAGTTGAATTTTCTGAAACATTAATTAATTCATAAAGGAAAATAAAAATACGGGTGCTTATTTATGATATAATAAGTATATTCATATTATATTTTTTAAATAGTTAATATTATTTATGTTTATAAATGATTATTTTTAGTGTTTTTGTAAACTATACTTACGAATTTACTTGTATTTTTATACCTTTTCCATTTTGTTGTTTGATTTCTTTGTCTGCTATTTTTTTCATTTCGTTCGCATACGTCTTAGCTTCTTCTTCTAAAATTGATAAATTACCAGAGTGTTCTCCACTCGTGATTTCTAAAACTAAAAATAAACTTCTATGTATAATTCCATTGAATATTTGTATTGACCTGTCTTAGCAATATACATACTTTTTATTATTAAAACTATAATATAAGAAAAGGTTACAAGTATTTTAACTTACGTACCTATTTTTTTTTAATTATTATTAATATACATACATCTATACCAATATTAAAACGAGGAAAGATTTGTTTGAAATCGATTAATTTTAAAATTAATGAACTTATTTTATAATTTATACATATAGATAGCTATATTATTTAGGGCATATGCACATTACGTTTATAAATGCGCCGACGATAGCTTATTATGAATTAATGTCATCCGGGTAAATACTGAGCTGATCATACTTAAAAATACAGATTACTCGCGTTAGTTTCGGTACAAACGCGTGGTAAGCGCGTTAACTGCGCATATACTGCGCGTCTAACGCACGTCGACAGTTCGTTTAAAGTTATCGTATGATATAGCCCATGAACAGTGGCTAATTCGTTCATGGCACAGCCCTTAGCCTTCGCCGAGGTGCCATTGTTTTTGTTATGTTATTTGTGGCTGTCCAAACGGTTGTTAAAACAATGAATGGAATATACTCGTATGTACATAGACTGTAGACTTAAATACATTGTTCTACAAATGTCCACAATAACTATTTTTTATCATTCAAAAGTACATTTTTTATCTAAGTAATGTTTTGCTCATTATATGCAATAAATACTTCATCATCACGAGTATTTAATAATTATAGGTATTTTTTTTCCTTTTAAGCTTGTAATCTGGTTATGAACATAATGAAAAAAATAAAATAAATCATCTATACTAACATTATAAAGAGGTAAAGTTTGTGAGTTTGTGAATTTGTGAGTTTGTGACGTTGTAGAGGGTAATCTCTGGATCTACTGAACCGATTTAGATGAAATTTGATAAGAACATAATTTGAGACCCTGAGAATGACATAGGATACTTTTTATGACGGAAATAGTTCCTTAAGGGGGTGAAAATGGGGATGAAAGTTTGTATCGGAAGCAAACTAGGGTCGAACCCGAGCGAAGCGAGGGTGAGTCGCTAGTCTTATACACATTATCGTGTCATGACTTGCGCACAAAGGCAGCTAGACGCGGTAGTCGATTAAGATAAACTTGTAGATAAAGAGAGATCATCTCTTTCTCTTTTATATAGACAACGAAGCGATAAAGATCCTGGCAAACTTCACCTACCAGGCAAGCACCATACCACAAGCAGAAAGAAAAACCATCAAGCTCAACCCATGACTTAAAGTCCTTTCTTCTTTTATTCACCTTGCATATTTTACTAAACTCATTTGGGTGGACTCTTTAAGTTCACTCGACCCCATAATTTTGTTCAGCTTTTCTTTTTTGTTCGCAATATCTTTTGATTCTAAAATTGTACAAGCACGAATTTCCTCTCGAATAAAATAAAAATAAAAAAAAATATAAAATGTTTTAAAAAAAGGCACGGACGTAATTATGTGTGTGGGAGTAGTCAAATAAAAAAAACTTGTAGATAAATATGTAGCTATAGCCTAAAAAATGGACTGTTTGAATTAAGAAATATGTGTGACGAATATCGTTCTATTTATTAAAATAATTTTATTAAATAATGTTAAAGACACAATAAACATACACAACTACGAATATCTCAACAACTTTTTAGATTTTATTTTAATTGCCCGGAATGATAAATTTTAACAGTTTAAAGAACCTATAGCTCAGATATGTATAGGTAATGATGAAATGTAAATGAGAATGCTAGCGGATAATTAACCACATAAATTTGTTTTACACGTAATTGTTTTATTAAATGAACTGTGACTTCACGTGTATCTATTCGAATAATGATGTTAACGGTAGTATTGCATTTAGTAAAAAAAACCGATTGCGTAAAAAGCGGACAAAAAAATTGGGAACAAGTTTTAAATAGTTTTATGACCGCTTCTTAAAAACTTTCATTTTGATTCTTCACTCGAAAAGTTTAGAAGAAAAATATTTTTTATAGATATAGAAACTGGCACCTGTAATCAGCCTTTTTGATTTTTAATAATATTTATGTTTTATAATAGCCATAACACGTGTTATTAATATGAATCTAATGATTTGTAAAACATCAAAATCGATTAAGCCGTTTAGGAACGAGGTAACATATGATCGGACGTACATACGTACTTATATACAAGTAAAAATAAAATTATCTCATAATTATCAGTATAAACACGTATTATGAACTAAGTTCAACACGACCAAGGTTGTGAGTATTTCTATATACTTACCTACTGACGATGGAAAATATTTTTATACAAAGTATCTTTTAATAAACATTTTTATTGCCATATTATTGCCAACCTACTTATAAATTGCATAATAACAACATAGACAATAAATAATAGGAGACTCATGCAATTATAATTTACAATGTATCTGTTACGTTATTTAATGGAGATTCCGGGTGCATTAAATAATAAAACAGGTAAATTAGATAAACACTTTAAAAATTTTATTAATGACACATGATTTTAAAACATAAAAACATAGGAATAAAACAATGTTTGTGTCGAAATAGGAATAATAGATTTCAAATGATATCAATATAAAAACTTTTTAACAAAAAAATAAAAACCGACTTTAAACAAAAGCACTAAAAAGTAAAAAATAACTGATTGATAGTTTTCATTTACTATAGATACCTAATCAAATATTTTCGAAGTCGGTGTGCTTTGCTTTGTATCGTCTGGCACAGACTTCGAAATTATTTGATTAGGTAGATATGTATAGTAAGTGAAAACTACCAATCAGTTATTTATTACTTTTTAGTGCTTTTGTTTGAAGTCGGTTTTTATTTTATTGTTAAAAAGTTTTTATTTTTCCCTTTTTAGTGTAGACAGTAGTAGCAAAGCAAGAATTCTAACGTGTTAGGCTTGTCAAATCAAACAAAATAAGCCCAAACTCAAAGTATCTACTATTAGCCGTTGAAGAGTTCCACCTATCCACCTTCTGGCCTTACCATCAGATCAGGTCAACAATACCGAAGTACTGTACTATCAACGGAAATAGAAACATTTGCAAAGTTTCAAGTCAATATGACAATTAGAAGTAGGTTAAATTCATCATTAGAAATTTTTCCACCCTTAGGGGTGGTATTATTTTTTTGAAATTTAAATGCGACCAATCTAGAAGTATACACTTTGAAACAAAACAAAAATTGTCCAAATTGGTTAATAAATGACGGAGTTCTGAGGTAACAAACATAAAAAAAAACATACAGCCGAATTGAGAACCTCCTCTTTTTTGAGGAAGTCGGTTGAAAATCATGAACCGCGAGTCAGACTCGCGCAGCGATATTTGATGATATTACCACTACACAATGTAATATGAATGAAAAAAAGTTTTTTTTAATAAATGTAATGATAATAAAATAAGAACTTTTATTGTGAAGCGGTTGAAAACTCTAGCTTTAGCTACTTTAGCTTTAACTTTATCAGCATTTAATAGGGTTGCATTGGGGCCCTTTAGGTGTGGATCTCTAAAAGCAAATGGGACTTCGTTGCCTTACAGAACCCACGGTCTACGGTCATGATTAATTTTAATTTAAACAATTTATCCTTTATAATGACTCACTAAGCCACTTGTTCATCATATTTGTATTGTATCAAGATTATAAATGTAGTATGACCTACTTTAATGTTATCTCGTTTTATCACACTACTAAAAGTAATATCTTATTCTATATTTTCATAACTGACCTAGCTTTTGCCGACGGCTGCACTCAATTTAATTTACATGCCTAGTAGCCGCTACTAATTGTACTTAATTCGTTATAAAATTCAAAAATATTTTTTAAGCTTGACTTATAGTTCTAGAAGTTAGCTGCAATAGAAAAAACCTTTTCAATTTTAATGACCAAGCCGAGCGAAGCGTCGCTGCTTCAAGTGTAGCAATATTTGCTTTCCTCTGTCAGTTTGTTGGTACTCCTCTTCAGGTCGTATTTTACAACCGATCTGGACGAAACTTGGTATACAGGTTCTAAGATTTTTGATTGGAGGGGTATTTCATCCAAAAAGGGGCAAAACCCTTTTGCCTGCCTTTTTTTGGCTACTGGATATATACTGGTCTCATAAAAAAATTGTGACGATTTGATGAGGATCTTCGGCGTGATGAGCAGAATAGCTCCTTAAAATGCAGTATATGCTCGCGAGGTCTTCTTTTTGCAGAACTACTATGTAGTAATACTAAGTATAGTAAAATAAATGAGATAAAGTTTTATAGATTTCTCTAAGTACTACTTAACCGTTAAAATTAGTTGAATTATATTAAAAAGAATCTTTACTTACGGAAATCAGCCATATTGTAGTATTGTGGGCAATCAAATCCAGATTTTCTCAACAGCTCCGGAATATCTTCTATTGCGCCTGAATACAATGTCCTTCCATTAGCAAGAAGAATAACGTCATCAGCAGAAGCAAACAGTTGAGATGATGGCTGGTGTATCACACAGGCGACAATGCGCCCGCTCTGTGCAACTGACTTTAGGGCTTTAGCTACTGACAGTGAAGACACGGAATCGAGACCACTAGAGAGTACCAAAATTAAAATTATTATTTATTTGTTCGTGTCTGATCATGCATGTAACTTAAAATATAGAATTTAGATTTTAAACTAAAAACAGTATGGCTGGTTCATTTTAACTGACCTGGTTGGTTCATCCAAAAGCAATATAGACGGGTTTGTTAGGAGTTCACATGCGATCGTCAACCTCTTGCGTTCTCCGCCCGATAACTTGCCCGATCGTGTGTGTAATACATCAGAAATTCCCAACTGTTTAGATACAGCATCAATCTGTAACAATTATATATTTTAGTACTTAACTTCATTGGTATAAAAGAATGTATATAGAAGGACTATATTTGTTTTTAGATCTTATAAAATCTATTCTCGGCTATGGAGGGAGTGTAAGATATCGCTTTGCGACATAGTTATGGAAGTGTTAAGCAGAACTGGTTATAATTGCATAATATACTTGACACGCATAGCCTAAATTTTTTGCTTGCGATTGAAAAATGCAAGTCTGAATGAAAGAAAAGAAACTTGAATTACAAAATTAATATACGAGTAGATTAATTTTGTATTAAATAAAACATATCAATATTTATTTGCAGACTCTACATATTAAAATAACGTAACACTTTCTCACATAGATTTTTTTTTTAGATTGAGGATAGAAAAGAGATAACATCATTATTTACATAATAGTCGAATTTAAAAACAAAAAAATAGGATTTTCTATCTCGGAAAAATCATTTTTTGTCTTTGTCTGAACCGATTTGATAGAGTTCGTTTCAGTGCATTAATTGTGTAATTAATAAACATTACGTATAAACAATTAATGGAATTAAAGATTAAGTGAAATACCTACAGCAATATAAGAGGATATAAGGTTTTAGTTAGCAAAATATTTCGTTTCGGAATTATGACATACAAAGCTTCAATATAGCGATAGCTTTGACACAATTATATAAAAGTGGAAGTAGCATTGGGTCTGTGTTTTTTCACATCTTTACATATTATACTAATAAAATTCTAACTGCGTCGAATCTGTACATTACATATTTTTTGGGAAATCTTATTGAAATAGACATTATTATCGATGCAGAGGCCTAATCTATAGTTTTTAAAATGTTTGTCTGTCTGTTACCGCATCATAGAAAAACCACTGGAGGGATTTTGATGAAATTTGGTATGGTGATCGCTGGTTATCCAGGTCAACATATAGGATACTTTTTACCGCGGAAAAATATCTCATTTTTGAGAAAAAAAAACAAAAACTGCAATGTAAGAGTATACTAATATGTAAAACCTAAGAGCTTGGTTTTTGGTCATCTGAACGCGGGTGGCCGCGGGCAATGCTAGTCACTATATAAGGTAATTGATTAGTGCTTGTTATGGAACTGAGTATTCTAACTTTATATACATTATACATCATTAAATAGTTTTGCTTTGTAAAGTTTATAATATGGTTAGGTATTGGTGTGCATACTTACATCGTGCGGCAAGGATGAAACACATATGTCTCCGACTGCATAATACTTTATTACTTTGTCAACTTGTTTTCATCTTTTTAGCTAGCTTTTATGCAATCGAGTTTAAATTTTTATAATATATTTTATTATTTACAGCTTTTCAGTTTTTGCCAATTAGACATTTGAAGTTATATTTAGCAATTTTATATCCTAAATTACTTTTAAACATATAAAGTGTATATATTTTTGTGATCGCTTCTTAATAACCTTTATTTTGATACCCCGCTCGATTGGTTTGAAATATTTCTTTTAAAGAAACAAATTGGCGCCTGAAATCCGCCAATTTAATTTTTAACTGTTTTTATGTAGCCTATGGACACTCGGGTTATCAAGACGAATCTAACAACCTATGAATCACCAAATCGGCTTACGCGTTTGGCCTCTAGAATTCCATATAGGAACAAACATATATACGTACATACATAGACTGATAAACACATTATCCTTCTTTGCGTCGCGCAGTCGGGTTAAAAAAGTAGCCACAAACGCAATTTTTTTTTCTACTTCAATTGATTGATAATAATCACGTTTTTATCGGAATAAAAAATAGCACTCGGTGGTAATATATGTATGTAGCTAACAAGCTAGCTAGTTTCTATTAGAAAAGAATTTTTTTAGTATCAAATCAGTACAAACTTTTCTTCTTTACAATAATTTGCTAAGCATTGGTTCAAATCCCCTGGCAAGTCATCACAGTTGTAGCGTTGGAATTACACTCTCGTATCTCTCTCTGTTCATGTCATTGGATAAGGAGAGTGAATGAAAATAGAGTACCTCTGAGTTTACGCATACACTTAAGTATATTATAGTATCTTATCAGAGTCGGAGAACTTATTATTTTTAATAATATGTAAAGTTATAAAATATATATTGTTAATTGAAATAAAGTTGAAGCACAAATATAGCTTATTTTTAAAATCAAATAAAATAATCTTCCACGATTATTGAATATTCCCTGTTATTTGCACTATTCATAAAGGTTAGTAATCTATACATAATAAGATTGTCACTAAGCCCTGTCTGTACATTAAATATTTTTTGGAAAATCTTATTGAAATAAACATTATTATCGATACAGAGGCCGAATCTATAGTTTTTAGAATTTTTCTCTATCAGTACGTTACCGCATCACAGAAAAACCACTGGATGGATTTTGATGAAATTTGGTATGGCGATAGCTGGTTATCCGGGTCAACATATAGGATACTTTTTACCGCGGGAAAATGTCTCATTTCTGAGAAAAAAATACAAAACCTGCAATGTAATGTGCAAGAGTATACTAATATGTAAAACCTAAGAATTTGGTTATTGGTCATCTGAACGCGGGCGGAGCCGCGGGCAATGCTAGTGTTTTATAAAATCTTAAAGGTAACCTTCAATCTTAAAGGTAACCTTCAATTCGTATTTGCAATACAACTATAGGTACACTCAATAATGCTCCACGCTCCTTGACCTGCATAGGGTCAAAGGTGTACCTACGGTATTAATAAGTACCTACTGTTGATACAATAAAATATATAGAGGTATATTATAAACTATCAGAACTCGCAGCTCGCAGCAGTAATACGTGTGCGAAATTTCAATTTTCTAGCCTTAAGGGTTTGGCCTGTGCGTTGATTCATCAGTCAATCAGTTTATATAATATATATACCTATATATATATATATATATATATATATATATATATATATATATATATATATAACTTTTTGCCATATGTTTATTATTATTATGAAGTGTTATTATTATTTTATATTATCTTTTAACTACATATAAAGATTCACTCTATTATAAAAAAACTAATAAGGAAATTTAAAATCGTAAAGAGCCATGTGACAATATTAGCCATATAATATACTTATAATGTCAAAGCAAAAAATAAATAGGGGAAAACCCGGATAGTCGCCCCAGTTGAATACATGCCCTGGTTTTCAATACGCTATATTAGAGATGTCCCTGATTTTAGCGCTCTTCTGTAATTTGAAGCGCCTCTTCCACAGACCTTAGGACGATGCCAGTAGTGGGACTAGGTAAACGTGTTTTGTCCGTGTGAGCGAAAATCTTCCGCGGCAGGACTGGCAGGGTTGATGAGCGTTGAAATTATATTCGTGTGTATTTTCTATTGAATTTTTTTTAACAGTTGTCGATTCAGTCAACTTTTTGCTTCTACGCGTGTACTGAAGCTTAAGTTACACTACCTATTACCTTAAATTGTCGAATAACATTTATTTATTTTTCAAAATATAAGGGCAAGTATCCGTATCGAAAAGGATAGTCGCCCCGTATAATTTTACGCATAGTTGCCCTAAGGACAATTAGTGTTGTAGGTAGGCGAAAAACAAAATAAAGAAAAAGAAACAAACATTACAAAAAGAAATAGAATGGAGACAACGAAAAAAAGATTTTAAGGCAGTAGAAAATAAATCAGCTGATAACGAGATGATAATTATGAAGAAAAGAGGTCGAAACGAAAGTAAAAGATCTAAAGTTATGATGATTTCTCTCGCAGTGAAACAGCATTTGAAAACATAGATTTAATTAAACAGAGTGGAGAAAGAGCTTTAAAGATGACAAATAACAAACTTATAGCTCTGAGAGTGAAAATGAAAAAAGCATTATAAATACAAAAATAGCCAAATAAAAAGCTACTATAGGAGTACAAAAAAAGAAGTAAGAAATTAAAGATGATAAGAGAGACTGAAAAGACAGTAAAAGTTATTAACATTAATACAAAAATAAAAAAAGCGAATGATAAAGTTTCAGTTGATGATTATTGTAAATGGTTTAAAAATTACAATAATACTAAATCCAAATCATACTTGATTGTATTTCCAGGAAACTCGTTCATCATTCAAAGAGTATTGTGTGAGATGTGGAGAATTAAAAGTTATGACTCAGTAATTGATGATGATTTTTGAACTGCTTTTGGTGTTATATAATGATAATCTATCCACTAATTTTAATATTTGTGTCAAAGTTGATTACCATATTGTTTTTATCTTTAAAGTTAATTATTATTTATAACTTAAATTTTGGAGATATTATTTGTATTTTAAAAGTTGTATTGAGTCCATTAGTAAATACCTACTACTTAATTAATTGATGTTAATAATTAATAATGGTTGATTAAATTTACGTAAATTTTTTTAATCCAAAAAAATTGCAACAATTTCATGATGAGTCTTCTATCCCCGCATGAGGCAAGTATCCCCCAAAGCATTTTGAACATAAGGCAACTATCCGCCACAGAGGGCAACTATCCCCTTTTGTAGAGGTCAAATAAAACAGGATTTACTGGAAAACGATATTCATTGTGTTTAAAAAAATAGGTCACCATGAAAGATTAAAGACCAATGTTTTATTATACACGGGGCATATTGTAAGTAGATACTTATTTTTTATGTAATTGGAGATTTTCAAAAAGTAGGGCAACTATCCGGCTTTTACCCTATGCAGTAAAACGCAGTTTGCGCCGTTAGGTACATAAGTATCTGGCTGCGCTTTGTTAATTATAATAATCTGAAACGACCGCGACGCATAAATATGAACTATTTTCCTGTTTGTTTTTTAATTTAAAATAATCAATATTACTTCCTTATTGTTACTAGTTTATATTTTGCTAGCGAAGTCGTTACCGAGTTCGCTATTTCCTGAGTGAAACGAGTGAGTATCTCGCTTCACATGGTTACTAACCTATACTCTTAGAGTATACATAAGCAATAGAGCGCGCGCTAGCAAGTATGAACTGTAAGCACGGGTATGAACAGTCTCGAAATGGCAAGAGCGACGCTATTAGTCACGAAAAGTCAATCGCGCTGTTTCTTTCGTCTGTATTTATTTGAATTTATGTAATCATGGTGAAATGTGCAGTTACAAGCTGTAAAAATGATTCATGAAAGCAAACTAAAACGAACATAGATATTTCTTTTTATCTGTAAATAATAGTTTAATCAGAAAACGCTGATTTTAATTGCGGGAGGCGCGCGGGCGGGTCGACACAACACGTGCTTCCGCGCCCCCCGCTCCTTCCTTTCCCTCATTAAGAGCTAGTGTTGTAACACGTTGTACTACTCGAAAATTTTATATTACCATAGTATTATAAATTAAGATTCTTTGTATTTGTCAAAAACAAAACCTTTAAATTTTAATGGCACCAAGTACTTTACAATATTAATTATTTTTAATTTTAAACATTTTTATAATTTTAATCATTTTTATAATTGCATGGAATATTATTGATTTCAATTTAGCTGTTATTATTATAATTATTACAATCTTTTTAGAAAAAATTATTAATTAGTCATCTTATTTAGTGTTGTCATTATTATATTTATAATCATAAAAAAAATTAAGCCACATTATTGTTCTATGTGAAATAAAAAAATTAAAATGTTAAAATTAATTAAGAATGATAATTATATAATAATTACATTAGGGGATTTAAACGCGTGAATTTACCTTTAATTCCCGTTATTTGCGTTTAAGTCCCGTAGTGTAATAACTATATAACTATGGAACGCAAAAAGTTAAAGAGAATAATATATAATTTTAATTTAGTTTACTATTATTTAAAAAAATCAAAATATTAAGCAACACTATTACTACATAGATTTACAAATGAAAGGTATTAAATATGTTTTTTAAAAACGTCAAATATTCGCATAGTCTAAGAAAGTATTATGAAAGGTATTAATTTGAAATACTGTATTTTTAGATAATAAAGTCTATATGTGCGTGAATAAATAGTTATGTAAATAGTTTATGTTAATATACTTCTTGTTTAATTTAATTGTAGAAGTTTTACTACGCGCATCACTATTCAACCGCTTCATCTACAAGTATGTATCAATAGGTGTGCTTACGTTTTGCACAATGGACAATGAGCGATACGCGCGCTCTATAGCATATGCATACTCTAAGCCTATACTCTATTCACGGAGTGAACCACGCAAAGCGGTTTCTCTGTCCCACAATAGCATACATACTGATAAGGTCAGAAAACTATCTAGCTCCGCCCACTAACCCTTGCAACTGGTTTGAAATCATAGGGCTCGTTCTTGTTGCTAATGCTTAAGTGAGGAATTAATAATAATTTGTAATAAAATCAACATTAAAGTAAAATTAACTGTATTTTTAAATATTTGTATACATTATTTATTAATTTTCGCTTTTCGACGTATCACTGTCATCTCCTACATTGATAATAAATCAGGGAATTACAGGAGAGACGTCTGAACGGTACGGAATGCAACGAAGGACTAATTATTATTATGACTTGCATTGTAATCGCGGCATTTTTTTTTAACAACAACAAACAACAATGCCTTCCCCCGTCTTAATGGGGCATCGCAGGTCTGCCGAAGCAGACCACAAAAACCACGGGGTTGCTCCAAGGTCCACTCTGCTATCAGAGAAGTACGAGGAGCAACCCGCATGGTTCACCGCCCACCGAAGTGGGCCGCCTCCCTGTGCGTTTCTTTGCTTCGCGCCCGGCTGTATTGCCGGGCACTATTGAGCCCCCCCACCACGGCAAGGTAAACGCACGTTAAGTTAAGTTGTTATAATTTCTGATCTGACCTTTATTACTAGAATAAAAAAACCTATTGCCCTCGGTGGTAAAATAGCTATAAGTGAAAGAATTTTCGGAATCGCATCAGTAATTTCAGATATTATCCCTCACATACAAACTTACAAACATTACCTCTTTATAATATTACGGTAGAATTAAGAGTATTTACAAAAATATTCTGGCTTCATTAAAGACTAGGTAATTCACATTCACATACTCTGTATTTTATTAATAAACTAGCGACTCATACTCGCTCGGGGTTCGACTCTAGTTACGTTTTAACGTCTAGTATAGATTTCTCAGAGATGAGATGTTTTTCTGCAGTAAAAAGTATCCTATATGTATGTTATCTGGGTCAACAGACCCAGAAAACCAGGTATCATCATACAAAATGGAATTTGAATGTACAGATTCGTCTCAAAATTCTCGAGAATTTTATTATATACAATTATTACATATAAAAAAGATTTAAACGTAATATAAAACAATCTATCCCACGGGATAAAAAGTAGCCTATGTGCTATTCCAGACTATAATTTATCTCTGTGCGGAAATTTCGTCCAGATCCGTTCAGCCGTTCTGGCGTAATTGAATAACAAACATTCATCCAAACAATTCTAATATACGTAAGATTGTAGGTACACTATTTACTAGGTATTTAGTCTTAATGTAAATCTCAATTAATGATTAGTTAGTCAAAGCCGGTTTTTATTATGACGGCATTTTTTTTCCATAAGTGTTATTGCATTGCCACTGAATATTAGAACAGGTTTCGAGCCAGGATATTATCTTCTTAAAATTATTGTATAATTAGATGTTGTGTAGTATTGTAAAGCTAGATTTGTTTTGGAAATATTATTTGATTATGTTTTTGGGGAACAAACTTACCGAATGTTGCCTCTCATTGTGTGTGACAGAAGGAAGTTTCAACGAGGCAGCAAATTGTAGTGTTTCTCTAACGGTCAACGTATCAATCAGAGTTGCATGTTGTGCCACAAGAACTACATTTCGCCCAGAACCTTGCAGGGAACCGGATACGCCTGTTTTTCTGTGAAAATATATAGTTTAAATATTATAGTTCTCGCCAAATTTTTTGGTCGCCCTGAAGTTGGCGCTAGCAAGTCCTCGCGCAGATAGTACATTCGAATGGACAATAGTTAACTCATTTATAAATATATGTTAATAAATTAACATAATATTGTTATTTATTACTTTTTTATATGCAATGTTTTTTTTATTTCGTTTTAATCAATATTATTATAATATAGATAAATAAAGTCAATTATTAGGATTTACAAAATTAAATATATTCAATCATCAAAGACATTTTAAATGTCAAATTGAAGTTCTTTTCGAGGTTATTTTTCATAAATTGTATGACGTTGCATACAATTTTTATCCGATTGCGCGACGCAAAGGAGGGCAATGTGTTTATCCGTCCATGTATGTATGTGTGTATGTATGTTTGTTTGTTCTTATGTGGCGTTCTAAAGACTTGACGATTCATATGTCGTTAGATTCGTCTTGATAACGCGAGTGTGATAGGCTGTAAAATAATAGTTTCCTCTGCCTCAGTGGTGTAGTGGCTAGCATGTACGGCTGCACACCCGGAGGTGCTGGGTTCGAGTCCCGGGTCGGGCTAAGTTTAGCCGGAGTTGGGAAGTTAGCGGTGTTTCACCCCCGTGCTTCGGAGAGCACATAATGGCGTCGGTCCTGCCTTATGTCTCACCGGTCGTGTCGAGTAGTCGTCCCACCGGAGTATGAGAGTGACAGGAATAGAGTGCACTTGTGTCTGCGCGTACACTTGTGCACTATAATATCTCTGCGCAGTTGGCTCGTCAAAATAAACGTTTTTAAGAGGCGATCATAAAAGTATATACAATTTAGATTTATGTTTAAAGTATTATAGGATAAAAATTGCTGGATATACCTACTAAATTGGCAAAAGCTAAAAATCTGTAAATAAAAGTAAATAATTGTAAAAATAAAAAACCCAACTGCATAAAAGGTAACTAAAAAAAATAAAACATGTTGACGAAGAAATGTAGGTATTATGTAGTCAGAGACATACATACATACATGATATGTACATCTTGCGGCAAGGATGAAACGTGTTATGTATGAAGCATAAATAACAAAATTTAACACAAAAAAAAATATATATATAGCTAACACAACAAAGACGTAGTTAGGAGTTTTGTTGAATTTTGACGTAGTTATGTAAAGACGTGTCACGCACACTACGCCACATAAGCTCTAGGGCGCTGCGGGTGGGAAGCAGAGAGGGGCGACCCGCTTCCTCTGATATGAATTATGATATATATCTGATCTGAAGATATTTATTCCGGTATTTCTGCATACACAACAAGTCTCTTATACTTTCTGTTGTATACTTTCATGTCTCGTGATTTAAAATATTAGTAAAAAAAAATGAAATTTTTTGTAACCAAAAACTTAAGCTCGATCAACTTAAGGCTCATAATTTTATAATATATGTTTGGAAGTGTCTATTCGTCCGATAATCGGATGAATAAAAAATATTACTCGTCCGACTATTGTGGAGCCACCATTTTTATGTTTCTATAAAAACAGTTCTAACTTATCAGAATATATAGATTTTAAAGAATATCAAAAGTTAAAATTTTAAGTTTCGAATAAGATCAAATGGACTCAAATTAAAAATCTTTATCGTCGATAGGTTAGAATTATCTTGTTACATTATGAGGCCTATTATATATTATATATTTATTATCCTAAAAAAGTCCATTTTTACCTGCGAAGGTTAGGGAGCTTTTCTTTTTTTTACACATAAAAGCACTTGAACTTAAAAATCGTTGGGATCTAAAAGAATAAGTATAGCTATTTTTTTTGCATATAGAAACTCCTGCACCTAAAAATCTCATTTACTTTACTTTTTACTATATTTGTACAAACCGACAATTGTCGGACGAATATTTTTTTCTTAATCATTCGATTAACGGACGAATAGCAAGCAATAGCCTGTACGTGAAAAATTTGTATTTTAAATGATTTTCAATCCTTTGTTTTATTTTCTTAAATTATAAACACGCATGTCGTATGAATAAATAAGCAGAGTTCAGCTCTGTCAGAACACGATGGAGGTTTTGACCTCGGAATTCAGCAACAATGAATGAACGTATGTATGTATATGAGCTAATGTCGTGTTGTGTAAATATATTAATAAAATGGCAATATTTATGAGAATGTTTTATGTACATCTTTGTAAATAATATAAAAAACTCTGAATACAATTTTATTTTAAACACGTTTTTAATATAAATAGTTATTGTGAGTGTAACTTAGGAGATAGACTTATGCTTGATATTGCAGACTTTTCTGTGGGCCTGAAAGATCTACAACTTAAGCCATATAATATTATAAGAAGGACTCGACAGAATCAGTTATGGTGTTCTCCCGTGGGAATAAAAGATTTTCTTGTAGTAAAAGGTATCGTAAATGTTGACCCAAGTTATAAGTAATAACTTATAACTTGGGTCAACATTTACGACACACACGACTACAGAAAATTTTCTGTAGTAGGGCACAGAAGCGGAGTGAGCGAAATTATTGCTGTGAAGTTAGAAAAAACCGAGATTGAGCAAGCCATTTCATTCTGTTTAACTAAGACACACTATGATTGTTCATTAAATTGTGGTTATGTATAATTTATGATCAAATTACCTCATTAAACAAATTAAAAGGATAATTATGTTTATAATGAAAGGTCATCATCTATTGTTGAATGAACATATAATTATTGTTGTTATCATTTTATTTTACACTGAGGAACAACATAAATAATTAATTTAAAAGTACATATATAAATTTGCTAATTATTATTTTTAAAATTTAATTATATTCTTAATTATTATTAAAACGATTGTAATCTTTCTATTATGCTATTAATTGTGTATCTATTTCCAAATAATAAGGTAAGACATCTACGTGATTTTTTCCATGGCGACGGGTTATTTATAGGCTTGAGTGAAATTAAATTTTCATTAATTTGTGTGTGTATATATATATATATATATATATATATATATATATATATATGCTGAAGGATACGTGAAACAGTAGGACGACCGATGGTGGCCAGAATGTAGGTGACGGTAAACTATAATTACTAGTGATTGTTCACATACAGTTCCATTATATTATGTATTGCTTTGAAAATTATAGTAATCTTGTCTTAAAAGTCACAACAGTTAACTAAAGAGTACTTCTATTTTAGTTATAACTTGTATTTTATATACATATGTGTACATAAATAAAAGACGTATAGTGTATTAGCAGGACCACGGCTTCGATCGCGCTAAAATTACAAAAAAAACACAAAAAACTTAGATTTCGTAAAAACTTTCTTCCCTTATTTTACGGGGAGTAAGGGTCAAGTAATTCGGATTATAAATATTTTTTGGGTTGTATTAGGTATAATGTGTTTTCCCGTGGAAATAAGAAAATCTCCCGCAGTAAAAGTTGTCTATGTCACTCTCCAGCCCTCCAACTATCTCCACACAAAAAAACACGCCTATCCGTTAGTCCGTTTCAGCATGAAAGAAGGACAAACAAACACACACACATTTATAATATTATATGTTAGTATGGATATAACAACAAAGATGAGAAACTTTATGATGAGACTACTGATAAAATATAAATTATACTATTATATATTATTTAATATTCAAAGAGCATGCAAAATGACTAATATTGTTGACCAAATTCTATTAATTATACGCGTAGATATAAATGTTATTATATACAGACAATGTAATAAAGGCGCGGAGTTTTTACTTCCTATATTTATTTTAAAGTTAAGTGCGCTCTCTATTAATTTAATCCATATAGTAAGGGAGCTTTTCTCATGTGCCTGATGGTGGCGTGTTAGTTTGTGGTTAGAAAACAAGCGCAGAACCGACAGCTTAGCGAGTTTCCGACTCACGGGTGTGTAAATTGTCAACTTAACTATAGTTTTCTGTACCTAATGTAATAAAAAATAAATATGAGTCCATTTACAATGAGATATATACATAAATATTGTTAATAAATGTTAGTTTATAATATAAAAACCTTATTTTTTTAATTCGGTTTATTAGAATTTACATATAAATTGTATGTTTTTTTTTCATATTTTACTAGCGACATACCCTCGCTTCGCTCAGGTGTATGCCTATGTACGCGGATTTTGTTCGCAATTTCATGGGTTTTAATTTTAATGCGCGAAGCCCTAAATCTTTTTCTTAAATTAAATTAGCCTAAGTTACTCCTTATAACATTAGCTATCTGACAGTAAAGGTCCCGTCAAAACTGGTTCAGCCATTTCGAAGATTAGCCGGACCAACAGACAGACTGACAAAAGATTTAATATTTTTTTTATTATACGTATCGTATGTTTATAGTAAAAACTTGTTATTTTAATATTACAAACAGATATAAAATCAATTTTAAATAACGTTATTTATTGCAATTAACCGATTATAATAAAATACATTATATTTGTTAAGAATAATAATAATAATAATAATAATGTACGAAGATAATAATTAGAGGTTAGGTTAATATGATAATTTACTATATAAAACAAGCTATACAAATAAGACAATTGCTCTTTTCCGTATGTTAGATCATCTTAATTTTTTCATTTTTTTTAATATAACATACTCTTAGTTTAGATCGTTACATATGTAGGCATTGACTTGTTGACTTGTTTACGCGAATGAACTTAATAATTTTTATAACTCTTTTATATAAAAGCTTAGTTAAAGTATTCATACATTCAAAATCTTACTTCCTTCCTGCTAATATTTTCAATAACGTTGTTTTTCCAGCTCCAGAAGGGCCAAGGATGAACGTCAGTCTGCCCGGTCTAATTGCACCACAAACATTGTTCAGGATGACTTGTGCACTACCACTGCTTTTTCTCTTTGAAAACCATATCTTTTCTAAAACAAAAATATTGTATCTTTTAAGGGAATGTTAATATTATATCTGATTATAAAATATGTTATTTTATAATAATATGTTTATTACATTATTACATATGGACTAGTTTAGCAGATTGGTTTAAACGTGACCGCTCTTCTTATCTCTACATGTATAGAATGGTATTTGCGTGTTCAGTTGGGCTTCCGTTGCAAGCACAAATGTTGCTATTATATAAAAGGGATAATATATGCAAATTAGGACTATCTTACTGTAAAATTATCTCAATTGAAGGATCTAATCTATGCAAGTCGACGAATCGCGTTTGAGTTTCAAGTCTTAGAACGTGCTTAGAAGTAGGTATTCACCAGTACCTATTCACCGCACTCTTTCGCTTTAGATATATTTGTTATTCGGAAATAAAATATAAATAAAATGAAAATATTTATTACAGTAATTATAGCAATTTTAAGTAATTGTTACACTTTGCTTATCTGTTAAAGAGCATAGTTCGTGGCATATTTTAAAATTTTACGTTCTGAGCCGAGATAAACTTAATGTAGCGAAATTAATTTTATAGTGAAACACACACAAATGATCATTTTGATACTGTTATAAAATAATGCTGATGTTTTTTTTTATATCAAATTCTTCAAAGAATTAAGACATCTACGCGATCAATGGTCCATGGTAGGTATAGCATCCATTAAGAGTCGTCAAATTTCTTTATCACATATGTATATGGGCCAGCTGGAGTCCGCTTGCCGCACAGGTAATATGCCTGTGTCTCACCCTGTGTTTTGTTGAACTTTCTGGCTGGCTTGCTGGATACTTGCGAAGTAGTATGTTACTAGAATTGTCATCTTGTATTATTTTTTTCAATTACTAAATGCCAGACCTATTTAATAACCCTGACATTTTAGGTTCGGCTAATGCAGGTATACTCAACCTGCGGCCCGCGGGCCGCATGCGGCAGCATCAAAAATCGCATTATAATATATCTTTGTTAAAAAAGTAACTACATCGTTAACTTGAAATTACGTTTTCATTAAGACCTAAATAATTTTTGCTTGCGGCCCTTGACACCATGACTGAAACGTGTTTGTGGCTCCTATAAAAAAAGGTTGAGTATGGCTAGGCTAATGCATATAATAAGATGACGTTAGCAACGAGACTTGATTGACATTCAGCATATATTGTACTATAACTTTGACTTCTTTTTATTTAGTCTTCAAGGGTATTTAATATTTATGTATAATGTATTTGTTCTCGACTTTATATAAGATAAATTAAATTATGCTTTTCTACTCTGTAATCTCTATCTGACAAAAATATAGGGTCAGAAAATGTAATATTTATAATAATGCAGAAATATAAAATCAAATTTAACTTGGTAAAGTCATATTTGCTTTGTTAGCGAAAATAATTTATTAAAACATTAGAGTTTTAATTATCTTATATTACAATCATATTACAATGTCTGGGTGACTTTGAGAATTAAATAATAATACCTGGGCCACTGAGTTTCGCTCGGAGTTTTTGGTTAAATAGTACAATTTTCTTTAAAAAAAAAACTTAAAACTTAAATAAATACAAAAAAAAAACAAAAAAAAATTATACCCTTTTATCCGACCGGGATTCGAACCCGGACACTTATTCAATCTTGCGCCTTGGCCGCTTGATCATGAGTCCGTGCGAAATTGTCGAACATAATATTTTGGGTGAAATAATGGAAAAGAAAACCGCAAGAAATTTTCGCGTATTCCCAGCCATAAGACTAATCTAGATCGATTTATCGCCCCCGAAACCCCTTGTATATTAAATTTCATGAAAATCGTTGGTGCCGTTTTCGAGATTCAGATTATATATATATATATATATATATATATATATATATATATACATACAAGAGTTGCTCGTTTAAGTATATTAGATATGTATGTTTGTATATGTGTATATTTATATTATAATTATATAACAGAATTCTTTGTTGTATACAAAACAGGAACGATTAATGATGGTGTTGTGTATATTTAGTACGTGTAGCATGTAAATAGAGTCAAAAAAATTGTAACTTTCCATTTCTTGTAAATTGCATATAAACAACAAACGCTTATAATAATATATAAATGCATACCTCCCTCGTGAGCCAGCCTTCTTATTATGGCGAGTACCTATGCCATCAAATTGAGGTCGCAGCTAGCATGCTAAATATTGACCATGGCACTCTAAGGATGCATTTGAAACTAAAATTGAATACAATTTGCTTCGTGGTTTGGTTTACTTTTGTTGTAGAAGATAAATCGTAAATTTTTAAAGTTATACTCTTTCTCGCGCGTTAGGAAAATAACGATGGGAGTGATTTTTTTATGATGCAACAGATTTAGACTACTGTATGAAGTTAGTCGTTAAATCTTCCTTTAGTATAGTATAGTTTGTTGTCTCTATTCAAGATATTTATTTCGATATTTCTATATACACAACACGTGTTTTATATTGATAAAAATAAAAATTATCACGAGCTTTCAGTTTCATCTGTACCGGTGTGTTTGTAATCAAATCTTCTAAGTTAAATTTGACCCATTTCCTAGTGTACGATTGAGCTGAAATTTGGCACACACGTTTGGTTCTCGTGATTGCACGATTATTTAAATGCCGCCATTTTAACCCAATATGGCGGACGTTAAAAAATGGTGTTTTATCATTTCCATAGCGATCCTTATTATATAAGCATCAAATGAAAGGGCTTGATTAGCCAAACACAATAAGCAAAGTACGTCATTGTAAATCTAATATTGTGAACTCCCTAAGATCGCGGACTATTTTTTATGCGCTCCCATGATATGCATACCAAGTGAAAGGATTGCTGAGAAGAATAGGAATAAAAGAAAAACTAAAAAAAGGAGAAAAACGAGCTTTTGTTTAAATGCTCTAAAAACAAAGAAGTATTACTTCTTACGTGCGTACATAAGTGCACACTACACATACACTTTTTTCTTTAATTATTTACTATTTAGCTGCTATTTTTATTTTATATATGACCCACCCTTATCACTTAGGGGCATGAAAAATAGTTTACGTCCTATTCTCAGACCTACCTTATATACACACAAAATTTCATAAGAATCGGTCAAGCCGTTTCGAAGGAGTTTTGTTAGAAACACTGTGACACGAGAATTTTATACATTAGTTTACATTTTATACATCGATTAAAACCGATTATGTAACCGATAAACTTGTAAAATAGAGTGGGGCTATTTATACATATAAACACAGAAAAATATTCCCTTCCCTTAAGATGAAATTACTTTTTGAAGTCGGTGTGTGTTAATTTATATAAAGTTTAAACAATAATTATTATAGCTAATATTGATAAAAACTGAGCTGAATGGAACTGAGTGGAATGCGGAATGCATAGTACATAGTTAATATCAAAATATAAAAGACCTACATGGTTTTGATATATTTCAAAAAGATTTGTTGTACCTACATTTGAAAGAATTTACGGGGCGCTTAAAATGCATTCGATTATTCAAAACTTTAGTTGTTCAACTATTAAGTAACCAGTTTGTAATCATATAAAATACCTCAACCAGGGCCGGATTTAGGGGAGGGCAGGCGGGGCTAGAGCCCTGGGGTCTCCATAAGAGAGGGGTCTCCACAAGAGAGGGGCCTCCACATAAGAGATTTAAAAAAAAAAAACAATAATCTGACTGGTCGACAACTTTTTCGTTTTTATTTTATTTCTTCAATTGTTTTTCGCACTTTTATCTACGAGTATAATACATGTACAAATATGATTGATTGTATTGTTCTTAAATATTAAAAACAATTTATCCATATTCGTTCTCCGCAGTTCGCGCAGTCGGCTAAAGATGTTACAGAGGGCTGTGATTAATTAATTATCATACGTTTTTTGGTTCTGCGTGAGTTCATTTTTTTTTATTATTTTATAATTCATAGGTCTGCCATATTATTATCAAATGCCAATGTTTTATAGGTAAATTCACATTTGTTAAGAGATAAATTTTCTTCGATTCTTTTCTATTTTTGTGTTTCGTATTATTGAGTGCATGCACATAACTATATCTACTCCATAGGTTAGGTATAGATTTAGGTAGTTAACTAAAGGTAAACAAAGAGCTCATCACTCATAGGGGCTTAGTCTTTTATTACAAAAAAATTGACACATATTGTCAACTAGCTATGCGTACTTCATGGCGTTCAAGGGTTTTAATTTTTTTACGCGGAAATCTGATTATTTTTCTAAAATAAAAGTAGCCTAAGTTGCTCCTTATAATATCAGCTATCTGCTAGTGAAAGTTCCGTCAAAATCAGTCCAGCTGTTTTGGAGATTAGCCGGAACAAACAGACGGACAGACAAAAATTAAAAAATATATTTTTTCTTATTAGTACTGCATATGCATTTCATAAAAAATGTTATTTTGACATTACAAACAGACATTTCAATTTTATTTATATATATTAGACAAAATAACTGCAATTTTTATCATTTATTTATTGAATTCATCCACAATTAAGCACAATTAAAATATCACTAAAATTGGTTTAGACATATACTTTACAATACAATATAATATTTTAATTGATGATGTTACGGAGGACAACAGAATCTAGCTTAAGTCACGTTCTTTTATTGTAAAATACAATAAGAATTTAGACTCACAGGAGCATATCTAAAAAAATATTAGACGGCAGACGCACAGTAGCTTATCTAATAAGATTGCGAATAGGAAAAAATAAAAAAACGAGTGTTTGTTCAATTTGTACCATTCGTCGGATAGCCATAGAAACTAGCAAGAAAAGCTAAGGAAGAATCAACCAACGGAAGTTTCATTTTGAAACCCTTAAATACAGTCCACCATATTTAAATATCCATATGTTATATCATTTTAAAACAAGTGAATAAATTTGAATTATATGCTGTTTAACATGTTCTACCGATGACCACGGCTGGTGCAACCCAGTCGAAACGTCGGGAATAAGCCACTAACGAATT